TCAGCATGCCTCTCATTGCTCCAAACCCCCTTCCTAATTTATTGTTTTTTTTTGAATTTTTTATTTTTTAATTCCACACAATTGCCTATTAAACCAATAAGGAAATAACATAGGCTAAATTATCTCTAACAACCAATAGAAAAAGAAAGAGATATTTGATTTTCTAATGTCTACACTATCCCCCACCTTCTCGTAAATTATCTCTAATTCCTATTTATCTTCTTCCCTACTTTGCCTAGTAGCACCATTATCCCTCACTTTCTCCTAAATTATCTCTAATTCCCATTTATCCTCTCCCATCACTTTTTATTTGTATCCATCTAAGGAAAGTTTGAATTAACAAATTTAAAATTTATTTAAATATTATAATGAAATTATAAAATAAGTTTAAAATATTTATTAAAAACACAAAAAATAATTATAATAGATTTAATAATATTTGTATTATTACAAAATTCATCACAAAATTATGTACTAAAAGTATAAATTATAATTTTACAAATTATTCAATTTAAATATTATTCAAATGATAAAAATTTAACATTAAAAACAAAATATTATTTAAATATTTTAGTAACTAAATATATTAAATAACAACATATTAAGAATAGCTAAATAATTATATAACAAAATATTTAACATTATGCAATAAATTTAAAATAAATAAAACTCAAATAAAAAAATAAATAATTTACATATTATTTAAATATTTAGATAACTAAATATTTTAAAAATGAAATATTTAAAATAACTAAATTTTAAATAGTTAAAATAATGAAATTATGTAACAAATTTAAAAATTCTCTTAAAAGTAGAAAAATAATTATAATAGATTTCATAACTTTCAAATTGATACTAAGTTAATATTTTACAAAATTATGTAATAACAGTATAAATTGTAATTTTATGGATTATTAAATTCAATAAATAATTAATATTTTAAAATTTTAAATAATGATATTATTTAAATAACAAAATAATATTGTAAACTAATTTCACTTATATCAATTAATAATTCTAGAAAATAACTTCCAAATAATTATTATTTATTAATAATAGTTTTAAAATCTGAATCCATATATTTTTTATATTTTTATATACTAAAATAATATTTATTGCATTTTCATTAATTATTTATTTTTTTGTGATAAAAATATTTTCAATAATTATGTATAAATCTAATTTTGTTATGCTATTTAACAGAAAATTTTCAATAATTGTTGGAGATTAAACTACTACTATTTCACTTTTTAAATTTAATTTATTTTACTTATTGAATCTATTGTAGATTTGTTATAAATTTATTTTTAGTGATTATGTATTTTAGTTATAATTTATTGATTAACATTTATTAGAGATTAATCTATTATTTGAGATTACACTATTTATTGATTAATTTAATAGATTTTTAGTATTTATTGCATTTTTGTAATTATTGTATTTTTATTTGTTTTGTATTGTATTATCATTGTAAATTTATTTTCAATAATTGTGTATTTTCACTGTAGATTTTCAATAATTAATGATTATTAAATTATTGTTATTTATTAGAAATTAGACTATTAATTTAGCTGAAATTGGGAGTGATCATGGGTTGGTTTGCAAGTTGTTTGGCCAACCAAATCAACCTAGTCAGGTTGGGGAGTTTCACCCAAAACTAGCTAATAATTAGTGAAAACTAGCCAATTTGGGTTGTAACGGTTTGGGTCAATTTTTAGTTTGGTTGGTTGTTCAAAATATTTAAACTTACAATTTAAATTTAAACAATTATAGTGGTATTTTTTAAAAATAAGTTAAAAAAATTAAGTTTTTGATATAAAATATTTTCGACTAAGGAATATGTGAGTTTTCCAACCCATATTCAATGAGTATTATAGTGTTATTACCAAAAGTTAATAAATGCGGTTAGTAAATTACCAAAAGTTAATAAATATTGTTTTAATAATTAACTCATCATGAATTTTTAATGTATTTTGGGTAAATATTGTTATATTCATGTTAAATAACAACATTTTAGAAATTGAAAACTCTTTAACTAATTTCTATAAAATTAAGAATTATATTTAATAATTATTAAAAAGTATAAAATTTTAGTTTTTGCTATTGTTATATTTTATAACTGAATGTAGATGGGGAAATAAAATATTATAATTCTGGAAAATGGAACTATTGATTAATTTATATTGGAAAATAAAAGATAAATTAGTGTAATAAACCAATAAACTAACAATTTAAAATAATTTTCAATAAATCTCTACAATTACACAAATGTAATAAACTTTTCAAAAATTCCCATAAAACTACATTTTCATAAAATAACATTTTCGATGAGGGAGGAGCTGAATTAGGCCACGTTCGAGTGGGAGGGTTTGACTCAGCTGCAGGCCCCTTCCCCTTTGAACCTACTTCTTCCACTTCTCGAGCTGCTCTTACCTCTCGAAAGGATGTTGATCCTTGCATCGATGCTCGTCTTTAGCTTTAGTGTATTAAGTTTTGCCATTCCCATTCGATTGGCTTTTTTGTGTTTAGTCACTCTTTGGGCACTCTCATTGTGTTCCATTTCGGCTTGAAACTTCTTATACACCTTGACCTTTCTCCACTTGCTAGAGCTTGCCTAGCTGTCCTCCACCGACGAGCTCCCCGTTTAGGTCCGCTTGATCAGCAAAGCAAGCGATATGTCTAGAGGTGTAAATAGGGAAGCAAACGGATCGGATTCGAATCCAACCGATACTATTCATGCTGGATTTGATCCATTCTGAAGATCGACAGGACTCGATTTGAATTCAAATCCTATCAGTAAGTCAGATATGCAGATTTGATCCGATCTGACTTATTTTCTATAAAAATTAATAAATTATTAAAAGAAAAAATAAAATATACTAATTTAAGTAAAGTAAAAACAAAAATATAAGTATTTTTTAATTATTTTCATCATATATACATGTTTTTTTATAAAAAAAATAAATAATATAACAAATCTATAAAAATATAATATAAAAGTAGAACCAGATCACGTTCCGAATTCGACTAAATTTGATCGATTCTCGGATAGAACCAGATCATGATCCGATCCATTTTGCACCCCTAGGTGTAACTATGCTATATCAACTCGTGGGTTGGGCTAGGTTGTGTTTGCTACCTCTGGGATGCTTTAGAAGGTTTGGCCTTGCACAATCCATGGCACGAGCACGGGCTACTTCGTGGGCCAAGCCTTGGTCCATGCTGGGTTGCGGATTGGGCCAAGTCACGAGAGGTATATTTAAAAAAATTGAAAAAAAATTAAAATTTTAAAATAAATTAACAAGATAAACAAAAATTGAAAAAATTTAAATTTTTATTTTATATAAATTTTGATGTATACAATTATTTATATATAATAATAAAATGAAATTAAATAAATTATAATACAAATAAAATAAAATAGTATATAAAATTATATATATATCATGTTGGGCGATGGGCTAGGCATGTACTGTCATATTATGTTATACCGTGCCGTACCACGAACTCCTTGGCCTGAAAACTCAAGCCAACAGGTAGGGCTGTTCATAAGAATGCCCAACCCGACCAAACCGACCAACCTGAATCGACTGGGTTTTCATTAGTACCGGTCGGTATCGAGTTGGGCAAATATATAAACCGATATATCGGATCGGTTTCGATTTTATTGTGTGAAAACCGAAACTAACCCGACCCGAACCGAACTAGTCTTCTACTAGTTCGGTAGTTCCTAGTTTGAGTAGTTTCCTACTTAATTATAACTAGTATTCTACTATAACTAAAAGGCCCATTAGGCAATTACAATTAGAATAGACAATTTATCACAGTTTATAACTTTCTATAATTTTTTACACCAAATAGGCAACCCATTAGGCAATTACAATTAGAATTCAATTAGGTGTCCTTTTGTACAAAAGCAAAGCAGAAACCGACCCAAACCGACTCAAACCGATCAGATCGGTTTAGCCTATCAGTGGATCGGTTTCGGTTTCCACCTCAGGTAACCCGACCAGGTCAAATCGGTTGGGAAAACCCCAATAAACCAATCCAACTCTACCCATGAACACCCCTACCAACAGGCCAACATGACCCCTACCTTTGTGTCGTGGTAGGCTGCGGGCGGCACGACGTAATTTACAGTAAAAGTCTATACCATTTTGTTTTTTATTATTTTTATTTTTCACTATCTTCGTTATACCATTTCTATGATTCCAAGTGTTGGTGGGCCCACATTGTTGAGTTTCATAGGTTTTTGGGTGTTAGTTGTGTTGGTCGACCCATACAAACCCATTTCCGTAGTTCTAGATGTATGTGGTGGATTCATCTCATTATTGAATTTAACAAGTTTTGAATGCTTGTGGGGCCCACGCAAAATTTTTGGGTGTTGGTGGGCGAGTTTCATGGGTCCTGGGTGTTGGTTAAGGCTCACGCAAAATCCCTGCGCTGAACCGTCATTCTCCCTACGTATACAAGTATTTGTGAGTATAAATGCAAATATATGGTGCAAAAACTTATATTTTATATTATTTTGTATCTATTTATGTTATATATATTTGTATTTGTATTGCTTTCAAATTGAGCCATACATCCCATTTATATGGTATTGCGTATATAATATGTTATTTATTTATAAATATATTATTTATATTGTAATTTTATAATTTTTTTATATGAATTATTTATTTTAATTTATTATATATATATGAATAATTTATTATTTTTAAAAGAAAACAGATCGGATAAGAAGGGGTAGATCCGAAATATGATAATCAAGTGAAGGGGTAGATCCATATCCAGGAATTATTCGGGTTTTATTTGAAGGAATGAAGGAAGATTGTCCAACTATTTTTCATCAAGACGAGAAGAGCACAGTTTTAGCCACTCCCACTCAGTTGACCATTTAAGTTTGACCACTATACTATTAAAGGATATACGAGACACACTATATCATTGCGCAACGATTTTTGCGCGGGAAATATATAACGAACCGACGAGGCAGCCTCGACGTGCAACTTGCGAGCTTCCTCACGAAGTCTCAGCGCCAAGACGTTGTTACAAGCACCTTTGGTTTGCTGCACCCAGTCCCAGTCCCAGTCCCCGTCCCCGAATCCATCGCTGTCGATCTTTCTCCTCATCTCTCGCCGCCTTTGTCGATCATAATTTCCTCTATTTCATCTGTCTGCTTATCTATGCATATCCGTCAATGACGCTTTTACGATCTCGTGAAATAATTCCTAAATTTTCTCCTAAAACCCTAAATGCTCGAATAATTGAACCATCTACTCCAATACAACTCCAGGAACCTTCCAATGTCATTCTCCCCTCTCCTGCAATGAGTAGCTCAACTCCTCCTCCTACTTCGTTTAGTGAAAGGCCTGAAGCTTTTAAACCAAGACGGAGTCTTCGACTTGCGTCCAAGTCAAAAGCTGCTGGAAATGATGAAGGTAGCTGCAAGGGACACGAAAAGAAGAATGTTACTAGAGAAAATCTTGGGGCTCTGAGTTCCAAGGAGGACAGTTTGAATTCTGATGTTGAAAGTCTGAAGGGAACGAGTGAGGATAACCAGGTACCCCCCGTGGTTTATAGTTCTGCTGCAGACAGGGTCATTGATCGAGAGAATGATGAGTTGGGAACAGAAATTAAAGAGAATGAAGGAATTAAGAAGCATGCAGTTGATTTGGATGCCGAAGAAGTTACGGTTACCAAAGAACCCGCGTCGGGTTCCACTTCTAGTGGAGAGACGGAAATGGCGAGCCCTGATTCGGAAAGTTTGAGGACGAAAAGCCAAAGAACCATGAAATCAGCCCGGGGGAATGGAAAGAGAAAATTGGATATCGATATCAATTTACCCGCTTTGAATCCAGTGGAAGAAGATGGAGATGCCAATTGGTTTACAGATTTACGATCGGGAGCTAGAATTTCCAAGAGAAGAACAGAAGGGACCGGTATTGATTATAAGATAACTAAGAATGACGGTGACCATGATGGGTTAGTTTTTCAGGAGAAGGAAGCGAGGGAAACAGGAGGAGGAGATGAAGAAAAAGTGGGAAAAATCACCGAAAGTGGAGGGGTTGTTGATGTGGGAAATTTGGAGGCAGATCCAATTGATGATGATAATGGTCTTGTTAATGGTCAAAAAAGGTATAGCAGAGAAGAAAAAGGGAAGGCTATATTGATTAAGGATTCTTTTTTGTCGCTAGGTATTAATCCAGTGAACGATGATTTGGATCCTGAATGTGAAGAATTAATTGAAGACGCAGTTAGGGGTCTTATTCAGCTGCACGAAGCTGGAAAAATGGAGTTGAAAAAGCGGGCCACAAAAATGGCTGTGAGGAATAAGGCAATGCGAAGAAGGCAAAATAAGGAAAGGTTCCATGATACAGCTAGAGCAAATGCTTCTAAATTCGCCCATTTTCAACCTGAAGTTGAAGAGTCCCATAGTCCGTCTCATTCACATGAAAGGGAAATGCCATCAGTAGAAACCAATCAGGAAACTGAAGATTGGCCTGGTCCCTTTTCAACTGCAATGAAGATTATTAAGGATCGAATGAAGCTAAATTCTCAGCAGGAGAATTCCTTATTAGTTGAAAGCAAACATGCACCAGTGATTAAATGGATGCCCTCAAAAACTAGAGGTCAAAAATTTCCAAATCCCTCAGTTCCTTCGTTGCAAGATTTATCCCTAAGCATCCTTGCTAAGAATTCAGATGCAATTGTTGCTCTTGAAGGTGTCCCGGATGACATAAGGCACAAACTCAGTGAGTTGCTCTGTGACTCTCGAAGGATGGACTCCCGTTTTATGAACCTACTTGTCAGTGGCTGTCCTACAGAGATACGTGTAAAGAATTGTTCATGGGTGACAGAGGAGCAACTTAGCAGAACCTTTGGGATATGTAACACCGAAAACTTAATGGTAAACAATTCTTAATTTTTTGGTGGCTTTCTTTCTTAATTTGATAAAGTTATTGAGTTCTATGATTTATATAGATATTTGGGGCTATTTCGACATAGTTTTATTTTTTCCGTTTTTTGTTTTTTGTTTTTTGTTGAAACTCTAATTGAATAGCATCCTGGGTGAAACCTGAATAACTACATAGGGCTGAGTCTAAACTCTCAAGTACTCTTCATTCCTGCATCTCTTCAGGTTGGTAGGTCATACAACTTTTACTTGCTCTTGGATGTTGGATGTTTCAGCATAGGAGACTAGAAAGAAGTAACACCAACTTACTAATTTGCTAAGAAGGTTTTAGTGGTTGGTAAGATATATCAATGAAAGGCTACTGCATTTACTTGATCAATTAGGTTGTCTTAAGATAATGGTGGAATTGGAATCAGTAATGGAAATTAGGCTACTGCATTACTTTTAAATCATTTGTATGTGCTGTCTGAATGGTGGAAATGGAATTGGAGCCAATTCCCAGGTGGAATAAAAATGGTAAAATTCTCATAATTAAAATGACACATTAGGTTGTGTCAATTTCTGATTCTCCCTTGATGAAGAATTGTAAATGGAAAAGAGCAAACATTTCACTCTTCTGCCTCTCTCCATATGTTCTCTTAACTAGGGCATTAAATGAAGCAGATTAGATCCAAGATCCACACCTTCATAAAGGGCGTGAAATGGGGAGGGTCAGGTCCAGGATCCATCCTGCTCTAGATCCCTATTCTGTATGTCAAAATGAATCCGGCCCAAACCCATCAGTTACATCCACTTGAAATGTGGAATGGATATGAATCCCACCATACATTGCATTATATATTCTGATTGTGTAAATGGTTGAATGTAGGTCCAACTTAAAAGATTCTAATATAATCTAAACCAGATTCAAGTCCAACATCCCCATATTGGATTTGGCTGGTTCTTCTCCAAATCAACATGTTTCATGCCTACTACTACTCCTGCATATTTAGTGGGTTTGAATTATTAAAAGGAATCCTTTTTCAGGATGGAATTGATTGAGTAGATACAAATAAAATTTAGGCAGGATTTGGATATTCTCTTTTTAGGATCCAACCTTAGATCTGGTCAGAATGTATAACAAACCAGATATGGACCCATCTAATTATATCCATTTCAGATCCAGACCTGGGTCTGGTGAAAAATATCCTGTCTGGGTTGAAAAATGGAGCCAACTAGATTGGTTCTAGATTTAACCTATTGATACCCTACTTCTAAGTTCTAACAGTCAACCACATGATTCCCAACCAACATCCAAACAAGTCAATTTTCAAATCAATTGGATTTGATTCTTAATCCATTGTACCCAATTCAATGGATCATAATTCGAAAAGGCTAATTTCAAGCTCCTCGATCCAAAGACAGCATTGATCATGTTTAAGGGTCTTTGTGTTACTTGAATGAGTGTATACAAACTATAATGGATATGAAGTTGAATGACCATAATTAACCTGATTTTATTTTGAACTGGATGGTGCAGCTTTGCTATATTCCTAGTAGGGTTTATAGAGAGAAATACAGTGTACCATTGAGTTAGATTGCTAATTTAATTCACAATTTATGCATATGCTTTGTTGTAGTGGAGTTAGCATATGTGCAAGTCGTAGGACTTTGCAAGCAACTCACATTCATATTCAGATTGCTAAGTTTGATAGTTTATATTGTTAGACTTCCTCACTTTAAGAGAGTGAAATATTTTCAGATTGTGGTTCCTTCTACTTTGTCACTTCTCTCTAACATTAAGCATAAACATGATGCAAACCTCCCAATACAGTAGTTTGGTGTTATAATATGAATCTGGGTTTTTGACTGAGGTCCTGGTATACCAAACTTTTATTAGTGAGTGGAAAACCATTCAGTATTTAATGCTTTTTCAATAAAATTTCTCATGCTTGCAAAATTATGCTATCTTCTTTAAGATTTCTGCAATGGCATAGTATTGATGTTGATACCCATGATCTCTCTCTCTCCCCCTCCCTCCCTCCTTCCCTCCCTCCCTCTTGTAATGCATAAGATTTTTTTTTTCTCCTAGATAGTCTTGTTTAGCAAATATTTAGGAGATACACCAACCATCAGGAGTTGTTTGACGACAAATACTACCTATTTGGAAATGCATGAATCTTGCATATTTCACCTTGGTGTCTGAAGAATGTTTATGGTGTTTTACTAGTAAGCATGTATTTGGATGAACATTCATTTAGAGAGAAAACCCAAGGAGTGGTTCAAGCGGAGACAGGCTTAAAATTAGAATAAGCAATTTGTATTTTGCAGATGCTTGTTCTTGCTAAAGGAAGTCACCTGTGTTGATTATTTTAACTAGATCTCCTGTGCTCCTAAAACAAAATTGAAGTTGGGCCTTTGGGGCTTGGCTGCAAATCAGGGAGCTACCTGGCTGCAAATATAACTTGGACTGTTATATTTTGTTGGTAGTCTAGTGAAAATGTCTTGCCAAGATATATTTCTATACTTTGTATTCTCCTTTTACAAGTTGAAAAAAGTTTTCTCCTTTTGCAACTTGGCAAAGCTAAATGCAAGTTCTAATTTAGATTATACTCTCTTCTAATTATCTTATCCTAACTGGAAGATCTTTCTTACTTAGCAAAAGATGTTTGACTTGTAGTTTCTTCACTTTTAGTTACTAGAGTTTTCTAATTAGGTTGAATGTTCCCTATCATGAAATCAGGTGCTACAACTTGACCTATGCGGACGATGTATCTCTGATTATACGCTACGTGCTACATTGGCTCAGTCACCAAATACCTTGCCTGCATTAACAACTATATCCTTGATAGGGGCATGCCGCCTTTCAGATGTTGGGCTAAACGCACTTGTTGCTTCGACACCTTCTCTGAGATCTATAAATTTGGGACAATGCTCTCTTCTCAGTTCTATTGGTATCAATGCTTTAGCTGATTCTTTGAGATCGGTACTAAGGGAGTTATATTTAGATGATTGTCCAAATATAGATGCAATGCTAATCTTACCTGCATTGAAGAAGTTAGAATGTTTGGAATTGTTGTCAATGTCACGTGTTCAAACTGTTTGTGATGGTTTCGTTAGAGAACTAATTGCCATACATGGTCCAAGAATAAAGGAACTTGTTTTTGCTGATTGCTGGTGAGCTCCTTATCCATCTCCTTGTACATTTTGGGTATTTGCATGAAATTCCCTTTAAACCTTTGATCTAATTTATAGGGTTACATCATGACCATACTCTTTTTTATTACGTTCTTCAAGACATGCACCTTATTAGGGGTGGGAGTTTGACTTTGGTTTCTGTACACATACCTGTTTATTGAGGCAATGAAGTTTATGAATAGGGGGACTACAAAATAAACCACAAATTATAAAAATCAATTTCGACCTAAGACATGTTATTTAGGGTTGGCAATCATTTGAGTTAAAGAGAAAACATCTTGCAATAGGTTAGAGGTGGTCCCTTTGAGCATTATTCAAAATTTGCAAGAGTATTCATAGGTTGCTTGTTCATGTTATATATGTTCCAGTCTTTGTGAGATTCAGGTTTCAAATGAATGATATTGTGCCAACACTACATTTTATTGTTTTTATTTTTATAATGATTACTTCTATTGTCATGATCACTATCATTATTATTATGGAAACTAATTTGAAGACCTTGGTTAAGATCCCATTGGTGCCCGAAATATTCATAAAAACTTAGAAGTGCCTTGATGAGACAGATGAATTCTTGATGGGATGGTCTTGGAATCTCTAATAATACTGCTAACTTTGCTCCAATCAATCTTTATTAGCTCCACCATCCTATTCAACGAATTTGTAGAAAAATTAGGGTGTAAACTGAAGAATCCGAATGATTTAAAAATTTTCCTACAAAAGAAGGAAGAGAGTAAAACGAAGAAGAGGAAATAGAGTGAAGTAGTGAGGCTGAACAGAGAGAAGGTGACAAGCAATTTGGAGTGAAGGGAGATAGGAGGAAAGGGTGAAGTAAAGGCTAGTAGTAGGAGGGGAGCAAGGAAAAAGGTTATTATGAGGATTCTTAGTTGGAATGTGAGGGGGTTGGGGAGTGCAAGGAAAAGAGCATGATCAAAAAGGTGATTAAGAGGTATAACCCGGATGTGGTGCTAATCCAGGAATCCAAAAGAATGGACTTTGATAGCAGATGGGCAAAAAGTGTATGGAGAGCTAGGGGGATCAATTGGGTGGTTGCTCCATCTTGGGGATCCTTAGGAGGAATTGTAACAATGTGGAAGAGGGATGTGCTTATGGGAATAGAGGAATTAATTGGTAAATACGTAGTATCTTTGAAGTTAAAGCAAGTAGAGAGTGGGTTTGAGTGGGTGTTAACGAATGTATATGAACCAAATGATTATAGGGAGAGATATCTTTGAAGTTAAAGCAAGTAGAGAGTGGGTTTGAGTGGGTGTTAACGAATGTATATGAACCAAATGATTATAGGGAGAGAAAGGAACTGTGGGAGGAATTGGGTGATGTTAGGGGACTATGGGAAGGGCCTTCGTGTTTGGGTGGGGATTTTTATGTGGTTAGGTTCACAGAAGAAACTAATAACCCTAATCAGAGGGTGACAACAAGTATGAGGAGATTCAATCTCTTCGTGGATACATTTAAGCTTAAAGAAATCCCATTAGCCCACGAGACTTTTACGTGGTCTAATCTTCAATTGAATCCAATTTGCTCAAAGTTGGATAGGTTCTTATTCTCAACAGATTGGGAAGAACACTGGGGGAGTTCAGCATCTAGGGCACTTCCTAGACTCACTTTTGATCATTGACCCATGGTGATTTGCAAGGAGGACCTACTCCGTTTAGACTTGAGAACATGTGGCTACTACACACGAGGTTCACTAAGAAAATTAGAGAATGGTGGGACCAATGTAATCCTTCAGTGGAGTGGGAAGGCATGGGGCTTCATAAGAAGCTCCAATTCTTGAAAGCAAAGATTAGGGAGTGGAATCTATTGGAGTTTGGTAGACTAGAGGAAAGAAAGAGAAATTTGATGGATCAGACTGAGGACTTGGACATGAAAGAGGAAAGGGGAGAATGTGAAGAGGGAGACAAGGAACAAAGAGGGGAATTGAGAAGGCAGTTGGAGGATTGTCTATACAAGGAGGAAGTTAGTTGAAGACAAAAATCTTGCTGCAAATGGTTGAAGGAGGGAGATAGAAATACTGGTTTCTTTTATATGGTGGCAAATGGTAGGAGAAGAAAGAACTTTATCTCGAGATAGGAAGTTGAGGGGTCAATTTTGACCCACTAGGATGAGATAGCAAAGGCCTTTATTGATCACTTTATATCCATTTTCAGAAGGCCTTTAAGTGGGAGGGTGTGGTTAGAAGGGTTGGATTGGCCAGATTTAGGGGCAGAAAATAGACAAAGGTTGGAAAGGAGGTTTGAAGTGGAGGAAATAAAAGGAAGTTGTGTTTTCTATGGACAGAACAAAAGCTCTAGGCCTAGATGGTTTCACAATGGCCTTTTACCAAGACTGTTGGGAAATATTGCAGAGGGATTTAATGCTAGTGTTTGATGAATTTCATAGGAGGAGAGTAATTAATCGTGGGCTGAACTCCACCTTTATTGCTCTGATCCCAAAGAAGAAAGATGCCTCTCATCCAAAAGATTTCAAACCAATAAGTTTGGTAAACATTCTGTATAAGATAATTGCAAAGGTGCTGTCTTTGAGGTTAAAGCAAGTTTTGCCTGATATTATTGCACCTAACCAAGGAGCTTTTGTGAAGGGTAGACAGATAGCTGACCAAATATTAATTGCCAATGAGAGTGGAAAATTTCAAAAAGGTCAAAAAGAGAAGAGTGGTGTGCAAACTGGACCTAGAAAAAGCTTATGATTTGGTGGATTGGTCCTTTTTGAAGGAAGTGATGGGTAATTTTGGGTTTGGGAAAAGATGGTGTAAATGGATCATGGGTTGTGTCAGGAACTGTCATTACTCTATGTTGGTAAATGGGACAGTGGTAGATTTCATCCCAGCTATAAGGGGAATAAGACAAGGTGATCCACTCTCTCCTTTCTTGTTTACCTTGATTGTTGATGTTCTGGGACGATTGATTCATAGAGCATATTCAAGGGACTTGATAAGAGGGCGGAGGTTAGGAAAGGAGGAGATCCCACTTACCCACTTATAGTGCAGATGAGACAATGCATTTTTGTGAAGGTGGGAATTTGAGATGGATTAGGAACTTGAAAATGGTAATACAACTCTTTGAATAGATGTCCAGTCTTAAAGTGATTTTTGAGACGAGTTGTGTAGTGGGAGTGAACATGGAGGATGGGGAGATCAAGGAATGTGAGGAGCTGTTGGGATGTGCAGTATCAAGTTGGCCCTTGAGTTATTTTGGCAAACCTCTGGGAGACAACCCTAAGAAAGGCAATTTCTGGAATCCGATGGTGGAAAGATTTGAGAAGAGACTTGCTTCTTGGAAAAAGAATTATCTTTGGTGGGGGGATCACACTAATTAGGGCTACCCTAGCCAATATACCCATCTACTTCTTATCAGTGTTTAAGATTCTAACAAAGGTGTCTAATAGTTTGGAAAAGATGATGAGACACTTTTTGTGGGAGCTGGGAGATGAGAAGAGGGACCATAGAGTGGGGTGGGAGGTGGTGGTTAGAAGCAATAGGTTAGGAGGTTTAGGGATTGGGAATATTAGAAAAAGGAATGTGGCTTTATTGGGGAAATGGTTATGGAGGTTCTCTTTAGGAAAGGAGAAGCTGCTGGCTAAAATAGTGGTGAGCATTCATGGGCTGGAGGACAATGGATGGGATGCTGGAATGCTAGCAAGGACTACAAGTGCTTCACCCTGGAAAGCCATCCACGACCTATTACGTGTCTTTTCCCCTTTGATCAGGTATGGTTTAAATTCAGGCAACCTCACAAAATTCTAGGGACAGACTTGGGTAGGGAATTCCCCATTGAAGGACTAGTCTCCATCTTTGTATGCTCTTTTTGACCTAAGAAATGAGCCCATATTTTCCTTCATTATCCCTTCATCCTCAAATTCTGGGTTTGGATGGAATTTGGGTTTGAGAAGGGCTGTTAGAGATACAGACCTGAACAGCACTTTGGCTCTCTTGGGTGTTCTTGAAAATGTTTTCTTGGACCCCACAAAGGATGATACCAGAGTTTGGACCCCACCCCCTTAGGTTCCTTCTCTGGTGCCTCCTTTTTTAAAGTCTTGACTCAGCCAGACAACTCGTAGGCTTATCTTTCCCTATTAAAGAGATCTGGTGCAAGCCAATTCCTCCTAGGGTTGGGAGTTTTTGTTGGGAATCATTTCTGAATAGAATCAACACTAGTGATCTGCTTCAAAGAAAGAGACCCAAGACATGTTTATCCCCTCATAGGTGTATTCTTTGTAAAGCTGTTGGGGAGACTGGTTTTCACCTTTTGATTTCTTGCCGGTTTGCCAAAACTATTTGGGAATGGGCCTTTTCCCTTTTTGGGCTTGGGTGGAGCCCCCCTGTGGATGTGCAGAACTTCTTTTACTCTTCATTTTTCAAGTGGCATTTGAAGAGGGGTAGGATTATGTGGAGATGCCTAAGGTCTGTGGTGTGCTGGTCAGTTTGGGAAAAAGGAACTCAAGACTTTTCTCTGAAAGAGAAAGAAGTGTCGAAAATTTGATAGAGCTGATTCACATTAGGTACATTCAGTGGCTGAAATCCTCAGACCTATTCACAGGTTTTACTGTGGATGATCTGCTGAGGAAATGGAGAGAGATCGCTAGCAGCGCCCATGTCAAAATGGGTCTAAGTCTGTCTTGGGCCCCTCCTCCCACTGGATTTATAAAATTGAACTTTGATGGTAGTAGTAGAGGGAATCCTGGGCAGTTGGGCATTGGGGTTGTATTTAGGGATGAGAATGGGACTGTTTCAGCTTTGTTCTCAGGCCCAATTGGGGTTGGTGACTCTCTCAGGGCTGAGATCTTTGCAGTCTTGGAAGGTGCCCATAGAGCAAAGGATATGAACATTAGAAGGCTTGCAATTGAAGGGGATTCAGAGGTGGTGCTAGGGTGGTTGCAAGAAGACAAGGCTGGTTTATGGAACTACAACAATGAAAGGAGAAAATTCAGATGGCTGGTTAAGGACATGGAAATAAAGTTCAGTTGGGTGAAGAGATCTGCTAACTCGTTTGCTGATGAGTTAGCCAAGCAAGGGGTGGTCAGGGAATCTATATATTGGGCTCAGTTGTAATTCTGGTTTTTCTCACTTTGGGGGCTCTTGCCTCTGCTGGGGAGTTAAGAGAGTTTATCTCCTCCTCTGTGTAATTAATTATCCTGTTTGATTAATGAAAGTTTTGTTATTGATAAAAAAACCATCCTGTTGAACATTTTAATTGAGCACAGTGAGTCCAAGTGGTGTGAACTAGTTTTTTGCTCTTCACTGCAATAAGATTTCTATTAAGAATGGGGATTCAGTGAAGTCTTATGGGACTTGGTTTTCCAGTATATTGAATATTTGACTATTGGTTCAATAATTTTCCTCATAGTCTGATTGTTGGAGAAGCTTATCTTCTTCTATACCAATCAAACCTATATTTATCAATATCAAAAGTTACAGAAATCATAACACCAGCTTCAATTAACTGAAAGAACCATCCTAGAAGTTATATCCCTATTTTTTTCATGATGTAATATTATCATATTATGATGTCAAAATGTGTCAATTTAAAAAACAAGTAGGTTTATTGCTAAATTACAGGTTAAAAATATATCTATCAATTATAATTGGATCTAGTCCCAATTAATAATTGCGTCCGTTCTGTGTCTGTTATTACAGACCCTACAGGTTCTGGTTCGGAACTGGTTTTGCACATTTATTTATTGGATTGGGACACAGTCTACCCTGAGTCCCTGACCCTGACCAAACCTGACCCATTGACAGCACTAGTTATAGTCTTCAAAATTAAACATTATCTATCATGTAATTACATTCCTTGGAGACTTTCTATCCAATGGGAATAACTTGTAAATCAATTTTCAAGAAAAGTTTTTCTCTTTAGAAGGCATATAGTAATTCTAAATTCAGATAATCCTGATTTAGTTTTGAGCTAAACCCTAACTATTAGAAAAATCTTTTAGGCATGCAAAATCTTCTGATGCCACATGGTTAATGACGCCCTTCACTATTTTTCTAGGACAAAAGTAATTCAACAATGCATGATCAGTTTACATGTAAGCATATTATAGCTCACTAGTTTTTTTCCCCTTGATTCACAGAATTATTGCTTTTATACACAACATTTGAAATGATGTAATGTTAACTTGCCCATTGTTGATTTTGGAAACCTTTTTTACTGGATGCAGGAAATTGACTGATAACTCCTTAAAAGTCATTGCAGAAGCTTGTTCTGGATTATGTGCACTTAATCTTGCTAACTTGCACAAATTGACTGATTCTGCAATATGCTACCTTGCAAATGGTTGTCGATCGATTCAAATGCTCAAACTTTGCCGCAATGCATTCAGGTTTTTCTTTCTTTGTTCTGTTAACATCATGATCTAGTTGTTATTTCTCTTCCATAATTAATAAACTAAATGTAGTTGCTCATGGTGATATATTTTTGCAAAATTAATTATGCATACTCATGTTGTAAAGTTCACTCTTTTTAGCATTTTCAGGAAATATGCTGTTTTTGGAAATATTCTTTTTGTAATTTACTTGCTTTACTTGATACTACTTGCAAATTTAGTGTTACATTATTGACAAACACGTTTACCTATTTTCATTTTGGTCATGATTGCCATTGAAATGTGGAAATGAGAGTGATTAATTTGGCTGGGAACCTAGTGAGCTTCTTGATTTGGTCAGCTCGTGAGTAAATTATATATATAGTGAATAATATACTGAAAATAATCGGTAAAAAATAATATACTGAAAATATATGATATTAGTAAATACAAACTCCTGGTGTTTTGAGGTGTAAAACAGGTAGTCTATAGCCTAACTCTGGTTGAATAAAGATAGTTCACAGATTTGTGTTACTGCTCCATTGCATAATGAACATGCTGGTTGCACACACACACATACACACATAATTGACATTTTGATGTATTACCCATAATTACTACAATCCAATTGCAAGAGCGCTGCTCTACCAACTGGGCATATCTTTTTTTTTTTTTGTTGAATAACAGAAACTGATTTATTATAATAATAAGGAAAGTGTCCAAAGGGGATAAGGGGATAGATAAGCTCTCTTAACTCTCCCAAATACAAACAGTAAAATTACAATACAGCCCAAAATAAATGATCCCTTCCCATCTCCTGCTTTGCTAATGTATCAGTGAATGAATTAGCATTTCTTTTCACCCATTGCACATTGATTTCCATTCCTTGAGACAGCCACATACTCCGTTTCTCATTAATATAGCGCCACCATCCAGCCTCCTCTTCCTTCTTCAACCACTCAATAACCAACTTTGAGTCCCCCTCAATTACTAGCTTCTGAATGTTCAACTCTATAGTCCTTTGAAGACCTTCCATCACAGCCATTATTTCTGTCCTCAAAGAATCTCCAAACTAATCGATCTTGAGTAGACAACAATAATTCTTCCTTCCTCATTTCTAAAGATACCCCCTCTACCAACTGGGTATATCTCCCCAAGTCAGATGGAGCGTGCATGAAGGAACCAAATGTGTTTTCTATTCTTTTACCTGGCACAGTTTCCCATCCTAGACCTTAACTAGAAACCTTGCATGTGAGGTAAAACATCACATCTATGATTAACCAATTGACAGAGAATTAATAGATTCTTTTACGGGAGTGAGTCACCCTTCCAAATTTAGCATACAAATCTCTGTATTGTGCTTACCCTTTGGGTTCAACCCTATTAACTCTAGGATCCTTGTTTATTTGGGGTAGTGCTGGTTTTGTGCCTCTGGTCTTTCTTTCCTTCCTATTTTGGTTTATAATATGTTCCTAGTGTCTAATTTTCCTTTTGTAGCATGAGGGTACCTTATTTATTCCTTTTTTCTACATGTTCTATATCAATCAACACAGGAAACGGATATCTAGAGTTTATGTGGGACATACTCCTATCCACCCATTCCACTTATAGGGTCAAAAGATGCATTGAAAGCCAACATTGTGCATGGACAGCATATACATTGTAGAACACAATAAGTCTTATATAGAAAGTCAACACTTGTGAGATGCAATAAATGTGAAGGCAAAAATGCCTTTATCTCCCCATATGTGTTTTCTATGTAAGGCTAATTATGAGGGATTTTGGAGCCAATTCTTTGCCTTCTTCAATGCTCCTTGGCAGCTTCTAGCACAGATGTTCTTACTTCTCAGCAAGCTTTTTCTCCCCTAGGAGGAGAGGAAAGATCAGATATTTGAGACATCCTGTATTGTACACCATTTGGGAGGAAAGAAATGGCAGCCTTTTTAGGCAAAAGTTGGTTGGTCATGTCTTAACAGATGATTTTGCCATTAGAGTGGTTCATTGGTTATGAACCATAGAAGAGTTTAGTGATTTGTCTATGGATAACATGATCCAGACCAAGGGCCACCCAATGTTGGTCCTAGCTTTCTGGGGTCTTGGAGTGGTGGACTGGATACAGAGCCAACCTTCAGCATTCTTTTGGACAAAGTGGCTGCTCTTAGATTTGAACTGACATTCTCACACTTGTCAGCCTGAGATTTTGATGGCAGTAGAGGGGGTGCTTTTAGGTATGAAAAGGGTGATATTCTTGCACTTTTTTTCCAGGTTCAGTAGGAATGGAAACTCCTTGAGGCCAGAGTTGATGGCTGTGCTACAGGCTCTATCAATTGCAAAGGAATTGAATCTCACAAGAGTTCTGTTAGAAGGTGATTCACAAGTGGTAACAAACAGGTAGAGGTGTAAATTGGGCCGTACAGCCTGTGGCTCAACACAATTTTGAGCCAGCCCGACACGACGAATTGCAGGCCATGTCAGGCATGGCACGATCGTATGGGCCGTGTCGGGCCTAGGGTTTTAGGTCCATGGGCCGGCACGACATGGCACGACCGAGCGGACCGTGCCAACACAACCTAGCCTGTGGCCTGGCCTAGCCCATATATATATATTTATATATAATATATAATATGTATATATATTATATAATAATTATATAATATATTAATATATATAATTTTATTATATTATTTCATTTTATTATTGCATATACAAACAATTGTATACATTAAAATTCATATAAAATAAAATTTTAATATCTTTTTTTAATTTTTTGTCTATTTTTGAATTTATGATAAAATTTTCATTATTTTTTTAAAATTTTTAAAACTCATTGCTTGGCCCGGTCCACAACCTAGCCTGGCCCAAGACTTGACTCGTGGACCAGTCTGGCCTACGGCACGGGCCCATGCGGGCTTGGCCCGTGCCGTGCCGACCCCCTAGAGTATCCCAGGGGAGGGAAGCACGACCCAACTTGGCCCGCGGGCTGGCATGGCACGGCCCACACTTTGCACGGGCTGCATGCGGTCCGTCCGTGCCGGCCCAACATGGCCCGATTTACACCTCTATAAACAGGCTAAAGCATAATGGACAAGGGTTGTGGTATTTTAGACAAGAGATTAAGGAAATCAAATGAATAATCAGAAGTATGGAGATAACGGTTCAATGGTTCCTAGGTTGGCAAATGGGTTAGCTAATGCCTTAGCTAAACAAGGGGTGACTAGGGAGCAGTTGTTTTGGGCATTCATGTGATGGAGTTAATTTGTAAGGGGTAGGGTGGAGGTTCTAGCCTAACTGTTGGCTGTATTTTACATTTTTATAATTTTCTGTATATTTTTAATATAAAGTTTCAGTTGTAAAAAAGTTAACTTTTGATAAGTTCCAAAATCAGAGCTTGTCCCCTCCCCCTAAAAGCAGTGAAGCTAAATTTTGTTGGTTGCACTCTAGGGAACCAAGGATATTTATGGTGGAGGTGCTTTTAGGGATTTATTAGGGCCTTAGAGATTTTATTAGCTTTTTATAGCCTTATTGGTTTAGGTGGCTGTGGCTCTCTTAGAATGGAGATAAAAGCATCACTACTAAGGCTCAGTTTTTTTAAAGTTTTTGTTGTACCAATGTGGAGGTTGAGTAGGATTCTTAGGTGGCCATTGGATGGTTTAGGGAAGGAAGTGAGAGTTCATGGAATCTTCAAAATATTCCTAAACAGTCTAGAGAAATGTGAGCATCTCATTAGGGTTGCAATCTTTGTCTTTAAAATTTCTGTGTTGCTGATAAAAAAATAATAATAATAAAATGAGGTGTGGAATTATTAGGGATCATCAGTCCCAAGATAGCTTGTTTCTTTCTGAGATGTGTTTATTTGTTTTGCTGGTTTCCTATTTGGATTCTTCAATTAAAAAGCTTTTGTATCTGTTCCCTAGTTGGGTTATCATGATGCTCTTAAGTTTTATCAGTCTTTGTTGATTAATAAAATTCTTTGATCTTGTTAGTGATAAGCAGAACACTATGGGAGCAACAAAGCAATGGCTCTTTAGGGACCAAAATTATGGTTCTCTTAATTCTATGGCTTGTGTTCATTTGGCTATATAGATCTCTGGCAGATACAAGTAACTTTTGAAACAAGAATAATCTTGGAAAAGATTGGATGGCAGTGACAGAAAATGGCATGCAATGTTTGCATTATTAGAAGTCTCGTGAGCTTATGAGTTCACTTTTGCTCAGACATTTGATTTGTCTGAATGTTTCATCATAACTATCAATGAGATACCACATAAAAGGGTGGTCCATGTCAGATTAAGAAGTAAACTTAACCGTGAATCAGTAACAGAGACAAAGATTAGATTGGATATCAAGTTTAGAATGGAAGGAATCTGTTTCTCGTTTATGGTTGTCTTTCCTTCTTAATCTGATAAAGACTATCCTTTGATGTGGAATTGTCTCGTTGATTGGTATGAGAAAACATTCATACAAACGTAAGTGCAAAAAGGAACTGCTGAAGTCATGTCTATTCTTAATTTTGTGGGAACTTGAATGGAAATTTAGCAGGAGTGATTCTGAATTAGGAATCCCTTTAATAACTAGTAATCATGCTGGAAAGAGAATTCATTGTTTATTACTTCTTAAAGATTGGGGCCATTGCTTGGTGTAATGGTAAAATCTCATGCAGACAATGCCAGAACTTAGAGTTTGAATCTGAGGGCACCCAGTTTGTGCAAAGAAGTTTCAAAGGTTAGGTCCTTGTCCTTGTCCAGATAGCTGGGGCTGGCATTGGGTAATGGCCTTTTATTACTTCTTAGAGACGATCAATCATAAGTAATTGGGTAGGAGAGATTATATATCTCTTCATCTAGAAGAAAGTAAAGGTGAAAATAGTATCCGTCAAGAAAATTCTTTATATTACTGCTCTACCTTATAAATGCTGGTTTTGGGGAAGTTAACAGATAAAGGACCTGGCAATAGTGTGTTCCCTATTACACACTGTGTTCCTAGCCTACTACTTTGGAATCCTAGTTTTCTCCCCAAGTCCCTTTATTTGTGTGCTTGCTTGTTTGTAACTTGGTCTATTTGACTTACATATGTTCAAGTTTTTAACTGTAATATAATATGGTAGTGATTAGATTGTTAATATAGCTTGTTAAACTCGTGTGTTTTCATTCTTCAATTTGTTGCCATTACTTTTCATTGGCTAACTAACTAAAACACTTATTCACAGTGATGAAGCTGTTGCAGCATTTCTGGAAACCTCAGGAGGGTTCTTAACGGATCTTTCATTGAATAGTGTTAAGAAGGTGCACTTTAACTTGCAACACTACATTTTCCATCAAGGATTTTGTGGCTCCATTTTTAAATCATAAAAATCAATGATTGTCAAGATGTAAATATCATTTTCATGTAGGTACACCACATTTGTCCATCAATGTTGCACTTTAACTTGCAACACTACATTTTACCTCCCCCTACCACCAATGAAACTTTAAAGGAAAAGAAACAGTTTTACTTCTTTAGATGATCTTTATATCTAGTATCTCTTTCATAACTAAGGTATGCTTTGTTTTTCTTGAATTCCATATTCAGAACTTTTATTTGGTTCAGTTCCTATAACATGGAAAATTAGAACTTTATTTTTCCATGACACGGCTTCTTTCTGCAACTTAAACCTATTCACTTCATTTGTGCCATTGCTTGCAGCTACTCTCAAAATGATTCTACACACCAATGCATATATTCTCCTTACTCTGTCATACTTTCTGTTTCTGATTGGCATTCTATAAGTTTTTGTGGTGGTTAACTTAGGGTCATAGATGTTGTTTTCATCTGATTCCTCAAATTTGTCTGTCCTTTTTACTCACTATGTTGGTCTTCTGAACTTGATATCATTTTGAGCAGTGCGAATTGTGGTTAATGAGAGGGGCCTAGGGGGAGAAAACAAATATGTGCTGGCTACTGTTAGTTGTCAGGCTTAAACTTGTTATTTGAACTCAGTGGCTTGGCCTGTTTACTGTGTATGCCAAGCTCTGTCTGGCTCTAGGTTGTAAAATAATCATTCAGCTAGGTTCTGGTTTAGGACTTTGTGGAGGCCATAATCTTGGCTTGTTTGAACCTAAAAAGTTGTTTACCTGCTTTCTCATGCATCATGTGACTTATTACAGGTTGGCCACAATACAGCCATATCTCTTGCCAAACGTTCAAGAAAACTGCAGAGTTTAGATCTGTCTTGGTGCCGCAATTTGACAGATGAGGCACTAGGGTTAATAGTGGACAGCTGCATATCATTGAAAGTGCTTAAGCTGTTTGGGTGCACTCAGGTATGTTTGTGCATATTAGAAGCACTAATTTGTGTTGTGAAACATCACACTTGAGCCATATTTTGAAAAAGTTGTGATGGTATCCTCCTTAGGAGGAAAACATAGGCTTTCATTAATCTAAAATAGCTGGATCAGGACTGTTCTGAATTACCACTGCAGGCATTTTGGTGCACTAGCTACTATAAAAATAGATTGGATATTCTAACAAAAAAAAGTGTTAATGCATGTGTCTACAATCCTAAGTGTGAAACCAAACGGTGTTCTATAGATCACTTTACCTCAACTCAATAAAGCCTTTTCTTAACTATATAGGACCTTAGAAAGAGGAACTGTTGATTGGTGCAATGGTAAAATCTCAGGCTGTCAAACTTGAGAATACAGGTTTGAGTCTGAGAGCAGCCAGTTTATGCAAGAAAACATTCAAGGTTTACGTCCATATCCCAGTCCATTCCTAATGACCCCATATTGCTGGGAACAACATTGGGTAATAACCCTTTTAAGGGGTCTTAGATGGACAAACTTAGTTGTCCTCCTGAGGAGTATGATCCATTTTCCATCCTCTTAGTAATGTTTTTGATTACTATTGGTATCTTTATGGCTAGACATTGGTTGTTGTTCAATTAATAAAATTCTAGAGCTATCAATTAAAAAGGCTTAGTAACTAATAATATCATTGTACTTTATTTGTTTAACTCATATTAGCCTTAGAGCCTTGGAGGCAAAGTCCAAAGAGACCAGTTTAGCTACAAGAGCATGGTTCACAATATTGGCAGGATTTTTTTTCCGACCATCTTTGATATATTGTTGATATGCTAGTGATATTTCAGATTTTATTGATGGAATATGCTTTTAAGATTTAAAATTTTAGAATATTGTTAGAGACTCTGATATTCCATTAAATGATCGTAGTTCTTTTATTTCTTAATTTTTCCCTTAAAGAATAAATGGGGTTGCAGTGATTGAATGATTGGTTTACTATTTTGATACGATTCAACTAAGTCAGTATAATTCAAAAGAAAAAGAAGAGACACAACTACAAAAGATGATTCTCAATCTAATGACAAAAAAGACACGAGTCAAAATGGAAAGTAGTGACATATGCAATAAAGAGAAGATAAATAGAAGACTAAAAGGGAAACAGAGAGAGATACTGAGTGAAGTCTCTTAATCTTCTGTATTTGATTCATATGGTTGTTTGCTATGGTTTTTAAGCCTTAAATGTGCAATCATACTTCTTCTAATGTTTTCTTTAAGGTTTATTAACAAATTCCATATTTTCAAAAAATTTCTTTTTTAGATTTTCCAAATATCTTAGTGACATTAGAAAAATGTTCCCGAAATTTCCCCATCTCTACATGGTGAAATGTCCATCAATATTGAAATTGCAAACCATGGAAAAGAGAATGCCAATAAAAGAGGCCCTGAAGCTAAGAAATACAAATAAGAGGTCTTTTAATTCAAATTGGTGCCTCAAAATCTGAAAATTGCACTGATCATTTAGCCACTGATCTGAGTTACTCATAATCTGGTTGAGTTATTAAGTAAAATATTTAAAAGTAGAGGAAGTAGACTAAGATGGATTGGTCATGTGCAGAGAAGACCATCTACATCATCAATAAGAAGTAATCTGTTAAAAGTTGAAGGGGATTGAAGAGCTAGGAGGTAGACATATAAGGGCATGGGTTGAAGTAGCAAGAAATGATTTAGTAGCTCATAATTTAACAATGGATATGGCATTAAACAGAACGGAATGACAGAACAGGGTTCATGTGGCTGGCTCTATATGGTTGGTACAAGGATTAGACTATGATGATTTAAAAGTAAGAAAATACGTAGAAGTGTTTGTATAAAATGGTTATGAGGCCAGCAATGTTGTATGGAGCAGTGTAAGGCAGTCAAGAAACATGTCCAAAAATTAATATTATAGGGATGTGAATGTTGAGAATGAGTGGGAAAACTAGAAAGAATAGGATCAGAAATGTACTTGAAGGAACCTAAGAGTAGCTCCAGTAGGTGATAAAATGAGAGAAAGTAAATCAAGATGGTTTAGTCACATGCAAAGAAGGCCACCTACAGCACCCCCAATGAGAAAAAAATGATCTGTTACAAGTTGAAGGGTCTAAAAACCAAAAAGGACATGGGTTGAAATAGTAAGAAATGATTTGGGGGTCCATAATTTAACAATGAATAGGGCAGAATGGCAGATTCATTTAACTGGACCCCATATAGATGGGACAAGGCTTAGTTCAGTTGACAAAATACATGGAAGTGGGAAAATTAATTCTTTTTTGGAATAAAATTGTAAGAATATTAAAATCACAAAAATAAAATAAATTACAACAGTACAAGTATTTAAATTTCATGGTAAACGAAAATAAAAAAATTGGGGGTGGATTTAGTGGAAACGCCTGATTGCTGATCTATTTTAGTAGCTAATATTGGTGACCTGATTGCTGATCTATTTATTTACAAACCTCAGACAGGCCCAACTTGATCAGAACTAGTTTTACCAGGATTCAATCTGTATAACTGAGTTTTAAAATACTTATTCAGATCTATTACCAGGGAACTTATTGACCACCTTAACAAAGGTACCTGACCATTGGGCTGTCATGAACAAACACCTTTATATTGGATTAAAGAAAATGGTCATTACCAATATTTTACCATTGTACCCCTTTCTGTCTCTAAGACTGCTTACCATTGTTCAAGGTTTGGATTTGGAAGTGTCATGATTGACACCTAAAGAAATTTCAAGAACATATAGACCTCGTCAAAACATATCTATTTAAAACTATTTTCTCATCCAAGAATACCATGCAAAAGAGAGAGATAGTATACAAGAACTGCAAGCTTGTCTTCATGGGGCCAAGAGATGATATGGGCCCCATGTAATGCTAAGTGAGAGATGATATGCCCCCATTGAAGCCATCTGGACCCCATGATTAGTTTTTTTTTTTTTTCACTTACATGTTCTCTGGCCCAATTGGGGTGGGAGATTCCATGAGGGCTGAGATACTAGCAGCTCTAGAAGGGGTACAAAGGGCTAAAGACATGAATATTAGCAAACTGATCATAGAAGGAGGCTCTGAGATTGTGGTGAGCTGGCTAAACAGGACAATTCTAGGCTTTGGAACTACAGCAATGAAAAGAGGAAATTTAAGTGGCTGACTAAGGACATTGAAATTCAATGCACTTGGGTAAAAAGAAGTGCAAACTCTTTTGCAGATGGGCTAGCTAGGCAAGGGGTGAACAGGAACTCTATATTTTGGGCTCAGTTGTAATTGCTCTTATATTTTGGGTGTATGCTGGCTGATTCCGGGAGTTTAGATATTTTCGCTCCTTCCCATTATAAAATTTCTTAATCAATTAATGAATATTGCTGTTATTGATAAAAAAAATAAAGCTGATCCCTCTATCGTCTTAACAATCAAGCTTTCTGTTAAAGAAAGGCTCTAAACATAAGATAAAGATAAGACATCTGAAATTCATTGATGTTCATTTGTCTGACTGCACCTTTTACCTATTTTAGCAGTGTTCATGCAGTTAGCAATATACTTGGGATCATGTAACATCCAGTGTTGGTGTAAATATGTATAGTGTCGATATACAGGTATGCTGAACATGCTAGTTGCTTGGTATCACTAGTTTTTCTTCTCGACCAATATGATCATATCTCCTTAAACGTGTGTGGAGGTTCTCGGAATTGTCTCCATAGTATACATGTGTATTTCATTCTGGTTCTTAGACTTGGGTGTTCTTGGATCTTTTTTTCATGATCCTTGAACTTTGAAATTTATAATACAGTATAATGAAATCTATGAAGGTTAATAAAGGTTAATGATTTGTTCCCTGCAGATTACAAATTTGTTTCTGGATGGCTATTCAAATCCCCTTGTGCAGATAATTGGATTGAAGATGACCCCAATACTAGAAAATGTCAATATGGTTGGTCCTCGGGAAACTCCTCATTATTCTTCTTTACCTTCTTGCACAAGGTCACAAAGTTCAGGTGACTCAGATGCATGATATTACCAGATTGTTTTCACTAAAGTCCGGGAGACAACACAAATTTTCTTTTCCTTTGTAGAATGAAGCTTACTATGCATATACACTAGATCGGAACTTTCATCAGAAGAAGACTGAGATTGTTACATTGAGTTGAATCTCCCCCCAAATGGCGTCTTAAAGTTGGTCTTTTTTGTTTTTGCTTTTAATTAGTCTTGGTGTGTTTCGTTTTTCCCTTCACAGCTTGTTACCGGAAACATGTGCTATAATTACCAAAGTTGCATCATGATGGCTTGTCATTGCATGCATTTGTTCTGTCAGTTTTTGTTGAATTCTGATACAATGGATGGAAATTCCTTTTCTTGGAACGAGTGGTTTGTATAGATTACAATGAACAATTGATATATATTGAACTAGATGAACATTTTTCTTACTACTTTGTTGCAAGAGTCGATGATAGCATAGGCCATAGGGTTCTGGTTGAAGGTATGCATTAGGCCCTTGGACGATGCATGAGCCAATGGTTAACGACGTTCCTCCTTTTTTCATCTGGCTATTGCTACCCCCTCCCGATGTGCTTTTGATCTGCTAACCAGACATTCTCGTCTTTTGATAATGATTCATTTAGTTCAAACGAGGCTGCCTCTTCTAGCTTTAGCAATTTGGATGAATGTTCGTGTATCGATAGATCTGATCACTTGGCACTTTGTAAAATGTTTAAACCAAAAACTGATCAAGATATTGTGCATTATATATATAAAGAAAAACTAAAAATGACACTCAAATTGTACTTGTGGCTCTTTTACCAGATATACAACGTTCAAACCAGTTGAACGGCAAGTGCAAGAGGACATAGAAGAAGACAAATGGAGAGAGAAAATAAATAAATGGTTTGACATATGGTGGTCTGGACGTGAAGCCAATGCAAGTATAAAGATGGGATATATTAGAAAATTGTCCCCAGTGGGAATGATTGATTCTTCTACTAATTGCCAAAGAATCGACATCATTTCTGAAATAATAATGTTTTCAAATCAGTTGACGTGGCAAGATGAGAAAATGGAATCCCTCCTTCGGCTACGGGACGTAACACACATACAACTTTTGTCAGATTTTTCTTCTTTTTGAAGTTATTGTTTAAATGATAACATAATATGGGGCTCAAAAAAGTTTTTCTCGTTTTGTTTGACTGTTAAGCCACGTTCTTTCTCCTTTTTGCGAGTTTGCATCTGCTGAGGAGAGGGAGCATTCTCCTACGACCCTCCAATGAGTCACGGACAAGATGAATCCTGATCGTAAATTGATGTCAAATTTACGGATAGGATGCGATTTATAAAGGGCCTATGGGGGGGGCTATCATTCAGAATTCTGCATTGAATTTGGTTTTATCAATTTATCCGTATTTCTTTAGGCGTCGCAGGGGAATGCTGCGACCCCAATAAAACCCGGACACATCATTGATTGAAAATAGAAAAATAAAAGTTTGACGTGCTGCTGGTGTGTTCCAGTTCCGTTGGAGTCGCAAAGGGAGTCCAGCGACGGTGGTCGCGTTAGCTGTCAGTAGTAGATGTCAACTCACATGTCCTGTGGCGCGATTGATCGAGACCGAATCAACCCCACAAGACTGTCCCCCAGAAGGCCACAACGTCTCACATCATATCCTCTCCGTATATTGGGAACATCTCCCGATAATAATATCATCATATGTTCTCAATAAACGGCGGGGATGTGCTGTAGGACGTTGTCGGGGGCAGTCTCGTGGTGGGGGGTGTGAGGGGGGGCTGATTTGAACTCCGATTTTAATCGCTTGCTGACGCCCTGATGGTAATTATCAGAAAATCGGGAGAGAGAGAGAGCTCAACCCGAAAAGATAACCTGCCGCTGCCAGGCTGCCAGCAACAAATGCAGCAAGAGAGAGAAGTCGAAGCTAAAGGACGTAAGAGAAATAAAGAAAAGAGAAAGAGAGAGCAGTGTTGTTGCAGGTTTTATGGCAGAAGGCTCTTAACTTTATCTTGGAAATAATTCCCTCAGCTTTGTTTTCTCTGAGTACTCACTGGCCCCTCCGTATTTAGGGAGCACTGCCACAACGATGTGATGGAACAGAACCAGTAAGCACGTCGTGACATAATCGTTCCCAGAACCAGAATTAATTACAACACAATAGTCAATAAAAATAAGGAAAATTTCGGGATAAAATGACGGAATCCTTTGACGACGTCGCTTCAATGTCTGCAACTGGAAGAACTTTTTCTGCTTCTCCTTCTCTCCAAGACGATGCTCTTAACATACATCTGAAGTGATCACAGAATATAAGAATATGCTTCAAATCAAGAGCTTTAAGCATGGCTACCTTTTTAGAGTATTGTGACTGTTTAAAGCTTTAAAGCATGAAGGGGTGTTGCTGATTTTGGCGTTCCAGTTGGATCCCGTGTTTGGGATGACTGTTGAGATGCTGCGTATTTTTATCGTCAATTCTGTTGCATAGTCCATTATGGCATCCCGGCATTCCTTGGTCCTTCTGGTCTTTCTCGCTTGGCTGAGCTTCGGTTCGTCGGACTCGAATGATGGTAAAGCATAGACAGAGAACACACATCAGGCTTTCTGCTTCAGTTTTGGGTTACAGAGCAACCCATCTGAATTTCCGCTTCAGTTTTTAGACAGCAAGAATGCTCATTTCACATTCTGCTTCAGATCTTTTTTTTTTTTTCTTTACTTCTTTGTTCACGTTATTTCTCCTTCATGTTTCATTTGAGTCTGCCTTAAAAAATTAGTTTTTGCATGATTCTCTCAAGACCCTAACCACACCATAAAAGATAAAAGATATTTCTTCTCTGGTTCGCTTTGTTGTTTACTGCGTAGGTTCTAGCTGGAGCTTTGTCTCGAAATGTTGCTTCCAAACAAGGAAGAAATATACATTTTACAAATAACCTTTCTAATATGCTTTTAAAATCTGTGTTTCAGTTTTTAAACATGGCCTTGTTCAGCATCTTCTGTATTCAAGGATTTGGGGGCTTATGGCCAGTATTTGAAGTTCAAAAATATTTCTTTTTTTACTTTCTCCTGAATATTTTAAAGAAAGTATGAAATGCATTTTATTTTATTCATTCTTCCTTTACTAAGAATTTTTTAATCGATAAGCATAAAAAGTTCTTGTTTGATACTAGCTTCCCCTGGTCATGTTCCTATGCTGCATGTCATGGGTGTTTGGTAGAGTATGTAACAGATTTGAATATCCATGGAGATTTTCTGCGGAAAAAAAGTGATTTGGACTAAACCTTCTTAGATTCCAACGCTTTATTTTGTTTTTTGAACTTTCATCCTTAAAGGAGCGACATTATTGGAGATCAAGAAGTCGTTTCGAGATGTCGACAATGTATTATATGATTGGACGGATTCGCCTACTTACGGGTACTGTTCGTGGAGGGGGATAACCTGTGACAACGTGACCTTCAATGTCGTTGCACTGTAAGATTCTTTTTTACTAGTCTAAACGACTGATAACAATGTTAACTTCAACGATCCTTGATTTTTTTTTTTCCTGAAGGGAACTCGTTTTTATGGTGGTGATAGTTTTGACGTTTAGTTTTGTTGCTTGATCAAATGTAGTAACCTGTCGGGTTTAAATCTTGGTGGAGAAATCTCGCCTGCCATTGGAGATTTGAAAAGTTTATTATCTATGTATTGTTCCATACCTCTAACTATCAATTGTAAAGTTCAGTTTAGTTGTTCCTTCGAATATTTGCAGATTGGTCTTGTTTAACCAGTGATCTTCTACTTCCGTTTTTGGGCAGAGATCTGAGGGAAAACCTTCTCTCTGGACAGATTCCTGATGAGATTGGTGACTGTTCATCTTTGAAGAGCCTGTAAGTATTGCTTGATAGGAACAAGTTTTTACTTGTCATGCTGGTATTTGATTGTTGGAGTTTCAGCATGCTATTCTATGTTAATAAAGACTTGCTTGTGTGTTGCTGACATTTCAGGGACTTGTCCTTCAATAACATTTACGGGGACATACCATTTTCAATATCAAAGTTGAAACAGATAGAATTTCTGTAAGGCTCCATGCATGTTAGTTGACTTTATTTCAAGTTGTCAATTTTCTGTCTGTCCATATTATAATTTCATTCAATTATTATTCCAGGATTTTGAAAAACAACCAGTTGATTGGATCCATTCCTTCAACTTTTTCTCAGATTCCAAACTTGAAGATATTGTGAGCTTCTCTCCCCACGTATTTCCCCTTTATTTCAATTGGATCTGGTTGAGATGCATGATTTCTGACACCTATGTTCCAGGGATCTGGCCCAGAACAAATTAAGTGGAGAAATACCAAGGCTCATTTACTGGAGCCAAGTGTTGCAGTATCTGTAAGTATAATGTTTGTTTACAATTTTTAGCAAATTGTCATTTTTTCTTTCTTTTTTTTTCTTTTGCAGGTTGTTATATTTAGGATTCTTTGTTTCAATGAGTATTCTCCAATTAGTGGGGTGATATCTTTACGGTTTCTGATTTTGAGGGAATGTTTTCATCCAGGGGATTGAGAGATAACAATTTGGTAGGGACTCTATCTCCTGATATGTGCCAATTGACCGCATTGTGGTATTTGTAAGTTCTTAATGCATTCTCTATCTTACATTAATTATTCCTCGTGTGTTTTTAATGATATGGATGTTTTTTGCTTGATTTACATCATACTCTTGTTGCAGTGATGTAAGAAACAATAGCCTCACTGGAAGTATTCCTCCAAATATTGGCAATTGCTCTGGCTTCCAGGTCTTGTATGTATATCATTTAAGTTTACAGGACTATGGTTCTCAAATTTTGTAGATTGTGTTAATTTAAAGTTCCCTTGTTTCCCATGATTGGTAGGGACTTGTCCTACAACCAGCTCACAGGAGAGATTCCATTCAATATAGGGTTCCTCCAAGTAGCTACGTTGTATGTGATCTAAATTTATTTTGCGTTCAATATTTAATTTTATTTCGTGTTCAAGTTGCATTGTAGCCTGTTTGCCTAATTTTTATGTTTGCCATTTATTGTACATTCTAGATCTCTGCAAGGAAACCAGCTTTCTGGGAAAATTCCACCAGTGATTGGTCTGATGCAAGCTCTTGCAGTGCTGTAAGCGCTGTAATTTTACTATTCTTGGAACTTCATGTGATTTTTAGAGAACTTTTTTTCTTTTTCTTTTGCAAAAATGCAACATAGTCTTATGCAATATCAGTACTTATTTTTTGGTAGTTTTCTTAAATTTTCTTCTTATACCACCCTTGCTGAGGAGTGCCCCATCACTAGGTTCTTTGAGATGATAATATGTATCCTTTTCTTTTTGGAGGGTTTCTGTCTGTGATGCTTAATGTCTATTGTCTTGGATGCAGAGATTTGAGTTGCAACATGCTAACTGGATCTATTCCTTCCATTCTTGGCAATCTGACTTACACAGAGAAATTGTAAGCTTAGTGTAAATTCAATGTTTATTTTGTATAACTTTAGTTTGTCATTCCAAACTTTTTGTTTCCAAGGATTGGAATGCACCCAGTGTTTTCCACATTAAGGCTGATGGAAGGTGTTTCTAGCTTATCATTCTTTGAGCTGCTTCCTTGTCACTTTATTCTTGCTAAAGTGAAATAGAATGTGTTTAATTGGGAGGGGGGGGGTTCATATGGCAGAATATACAACCAAGAACCACCTAGATTTTCCATTTGTTGTTATCTTGTAGAATAAATGTTGAGGAGTTGCTCAAACATATTTGGTTCTACTAATAACATCCATATGCTCATTTTATAAAAGCTATTTAAAGGGGAGATCTAGAGGCCACCAAATAAATTGTGTATGTTTGTTGTGAGCAGATGGTGTTGATTCTAGTAATGCCATTATATAGGAAAAGAGTGTAAAACTAAGGAAGAGTTTGTCCAAAATAAAAAAGGACCCTGTCCATGGAATCTTCCTCGACTATTCTATTCTGGACTGTTGTTAGTGAAGAGAATGATATGGAAGATGGTGTAGCTAAGGCCAGAGCTATGTGAAAATCTATACATAGTAGCTGATTTATTCCATCATAATCGTTTTTTTTTTCCTTTCTGTTTCTGAGATTGATTTTTCCTTTTAACTATCTAATATTCTTGTACCTTTTAAATCTTGTGAGTATTTTCCACTCGGTTACTGTAAAAAAGGAATTCATTGGAAATTTGGAATGCATGTGTTCTTGTAGGTACTTGCATGGTAACAAGCTGACAGGATCCATTCCACCAGAGCTTGGGAACATGACGAAACTCCACTACTTGTAAGAAAAATTGCTTTGCCTTCTAAGTCTATTTGGTGATGTGGAGTGCTTCACAAGTGTTGTTGGACATTTTAATTAGAGGAACCATCCTCTCAAACTTGAAGATTAAAAAGTTATATGATTTTATAAACTTGACTGCTAATTCTAAATTCAATTATCTATTGGGTTCATTTTTTTTAATTTCTTTCTTCTTCTTCTTCTTCTTCTTCTTCTTCTTCTTCTTTTTATTTTTTTATTTTTTTGTAGAGGAAGGTCTAGAGCTAATTCAAGATTTGGAATGTAATGTGATTTCACAAGTATTGCCTTGGGGGCTATCTGTTAATAGATGAGGTTGCTGAACTGACTTATTGCTTTATCTTTTAGTGGATAAAAATGATTAAATATTCTAGTTTATAGTAAGCTACCCAACTTCATCTTCAGCCATTAAGGGGTCCCCGGCCTTTTAAAATCTTATTTCTTATTCACTAAAAGACAAAACAAAAAGATCTTCAATTTAGCCACTTCAGCTGTTATCAAATGGATCTTTAGAGGATTCTTTGGTGGTAGGGATGTGCTACTGTGTTGTGTACCCCTCTTTTCTTTTTTGTCACCCAATGGAGAAAGAAAAAAGGGGTTTTGGTTTCCTGATATGAACAGTGCAGTTGGAAGACTGGGTAAAGTTGAAATTCCATCTCACTGCATCACTAGGCATCATGTTTTACTAGGCATTTGGGATGATAATCTTTTTCTATTGTTTGCAATATTTGCATGTGCAGGGAACTGAATGACAACATGCTCACAGGGCAAATTCCACCTGAGCTTGGAAAGCTCACTGACCTGTTTGACCTGTATGTCTTGATCAACAAAATTGTTAACTTCTTGAATTTTTTCTATTAGATACAGTTGTCTTACATCATTCAATTCAGTTACCAGTGGAATATTTTCTCACAGAAATGTGGCTAACAACAATCTTGAAGGGCCAATTCCTGATGATCTTAGCTCATGTACAAATCTCAATAGCCTGTAAGCATTTGACCTTTAACCTGCTGCCTAAATTCTTGAAAATTTCATCTATTTGACAATGTGTCTATGGATCTGTTGCAGCAATGTGCATGGCAATAAATTGAAAGGAACTATCCCATCTAAATTGGAAAGGCTGGAGAGTATGACATACTTGTATGTGACACACATCACTCATTGATCCTAAAGAACTAGTTGGAAGATTGATAACCAAATAAACTGATCTTTTGGGTGCAAGATTTTGTAGGGTAAACATTCAATAGAATCTTGTATGCTCTGTGGGTCCTATTTTTTTCCTCCTGCCTCCTATTCCATCTATAACACTTAACTCTGCACATTGCTGGTAACTTATTATTTGATGTCCTTAACCATATAGATACATGCTACTAGAATGAATGCTGAAGATGATTTTAATTACACGTAGATGGGGCAACCATAATTGGAGTGGATATACAAGGGTAATGGTAAAACTTAGAGTGGTAATGTAGACAAAGTATTAGCTTCTTTTACCTTGGCCCAGTAATCCATTATGAGGCGGAGAGGTGCATTTGTGTTGTCTGATCATGGAAAATCAATAAAATTGAAAGAAAGATTTTAGAAGATGGCTAGGTGTAGCCTCATAGGCTGTAAAATGAGGGAAAGAAGATTAAGTAGCTCTGGAGGGCTCCGATGCACCAGTAAGGAGTGACCATATACAAGTAGATGGTTTTATAAGAGTTGGGGAAAGGACAAAAAGTAAATTATTTGAGGTTATTAGATCTAAAACTTTACAACCTGATAGAGGATACTTCCTTTTGTGGTGTAACTGCAAAATAGGATTTGTTTAACTGCAACTGTTTGGCTGGGAAAGGGCTTTGTTGAGTTGAAATATGTTATGTGTATATAGTTTGGCTTTTTTTTTTTTTTTTTACTTCTAATTCTTGGCCACATGCAGAACCTACTCTATAGTTGACAATGTTTTCATTTTCTGTCTGAAGGAATCTATCATCGAACAATCTCAAAGGTCCCATTCCAATTGAGCTATCCCGGATTGGTAATTTGGACACTTTGTAAGTATTAGCTGGCATATAAAACATTTATTGTTCTTTATCACTTCCTTTGTTAACCATCATTTTTCTTTTCATTTTGTTCAGAGACATTTCTAATAATAAGATTAGCGGCTATATTCCTTCTTCTCTTGGTGACTTGGAGCATCTTCTAGAATTGTAAGTGATTTGATATGGTAACTGGTAAGTAGTTCTTTTCTTTGTTCCACTCTAGGCTAATGTCTCCCCCCCCCCACCCCCCAAATAGGAATTTGAGTAAGAACCGTTTGGTTGGGATCATTCCAGCAGAATTTGGGAACTTGAGGAGTATCATGAATATGTAAGTTATCCTAAACTGTACCACTTGAATGTTATCGAGCTTTCTTTGATCCTTGATATTTTGCAACTAATAAAAAATGAAACTAAGCAAACCATGTTTCTTCATAGCAGAGACCTTTCAAATAATCACCTACTGGGTCCAATTCCTGTGGAACTTGGTCAGCTACAAAATTTGTACTCTTTGTAAGTTAATATTTTCCCTCTACCGTTCCATTTGGACATTATCTTTTGATTAGAATACATAAAAAATTTCCATGGCATTGCTGGAATTTAGTGGATTTTCATTATAAAGTGAAATGTGGGAAGAGATACAACTTACAAAGGATAATGAGAAACTACTCCATAGATCCCACCAACAAATTTTACTTGGTCATTAACAAAAGCCACAAAATGATCTCAGGTTTTGCAACCATATGATCTGCATTTTGAATCTCAACTTTTTTCTTGGTCCATAAGAAAACTTTGGGAATTGGATGGTTTAATCTTCTTCATTCTTTTAAGAACTAACATGGGTTATTTCTGAAATGGCATAAAATGGCAAGTGCAAATGTTCCTCTTGTGGATTGTACTCTATGATCCTTTGATCATAATGGTGTCCTTTTGTTTCCCATTCTGCGGTTTTGATCTTTGGGTGCAAAAAATGACAGGAGAATCAATAACAACAATCTATCAGGGAACTTGTTCCCTCTGGTTAGCTGTTTCAGCCTTACCATCCTGTAAGTTTATTGATATTCTGCAATAGGATCTCTCTTAGGGGTTGTCATACCCCGCTTGTTCATCTTTGTACATTTTTGTTTATATTAATGAAATGATATCTGTTAATTATAAAAAAAAAAGAAAAAGATATTCTGCAATAAGATCTATTGTGTTATCTTCCTTTCAACCTAGGTTGACTGGGGTTGTTTTAATTGAGCATTCTTGCTTTAACATTGTATCAAAGCAGGAATGTATCTTACAACAATCTAGTTGGTGCTATTCCTACAGGAAACAACTTTTCAAGGTTTTTGCCAGATAGGTAAGGCCATTGATCAATCTCTATTTAGATTATACATTTTAGGTTCACTCTATCTTCTACCTCCAAGTTTTGTGGTTTTGATATCAAGATAGTTTGTATTTTATTTTATTTTTTTGTACTTTACAAACATATACATCTTTTTATAGTCTCCACATTCTATGGATGGATAACCATCTTGTATGCAGCTTCATTGGAAACCCTGCTCTCTGCGGCTATTGGATCAGTTCTCCATGCTACACGTCTTTTCCACCAGAACGAGGTAAGCCTGAAGATTTAGTTTGAACCATTTGACAGTGTTTATACCATCTTAATCCAATAAGTAAATGCTAATCATGCCAACATTTTTTCAATTCACATCTGGAAGCTGGGTTGTGTTTGACAGACAAATTACTTTCGTTTCTTGGAGGCAAGAATGAAGAATTTTTGCATTCAAGAGATCCTGTCAAGTGGTTGAAAGTGTCTTTTTAGTAGGGCACATCTTTTTAGTATGTTACTATGGTTCTTTGTTTGATTACAAACCTTTTCCTTTCCTGTTAGCAATATGAGCTATATTCAAATGTACAAGTCACGGAACATTCTGATCTTAGATGTTGGAGTTATAAATATGAATGAACACAATTATTACTGATTTGTTCAAGTAGTGAATTGACACATGCTTAAATTTTCTGCCTGAGTGGGATGCCAACTGTATCAGTACAAGAAATGAAATAACCTTTTATCTTTTCCTTGTCCTTATGATGTTTAACATTGTATGTGCAGTCTCAATCTCCAAAGCAGCAATCCTAGGGATTGGCTTGGGTGCCCTTGTGATCCTTCTTATTATCTTGGTGGCAGTACGCTGGCCGCATAATTCAACACCTTTTCTAGAAGGATCTCCTCACAAACCAGGTGAGATCCCTATACCAAGTTAATATTAATTCAGGAGAACAACTGTGGCAAACATTTGATATACCACAAGTGGCCTGCTAATGACAGAGGAAAACCTGATACATGTAGAGAGTTGGAAGCAACAGATTCCTTTAAGGTGATATTTGCCCAGAAATTAGCCTGATCAGATAAGCTGGCAGAAATTGACATCCATCTGTCAATGGATCTGCCCTGGTCCAAGAAAGTCCATTATGAATTGGTGATTTTTATTTTTAGCTAATTTATATTTACAGAGTTAAATATTCTGCTTAATGAAATTACAGTGAACTATTTGCCACCAAAGCTGGTCATTCTTCACATGAACATGGCTCTGCATGTCTATGAGGACATCATGAGGATGACTGAGAATCTGAGTGAAAAGTATATAATTGGTTATGGTGCATCAGGCACAGTGTACAAATGTGTGTTGAAGAACTGCAGACCAGTGGCCATCAAGAGACTGTACTCTCAACACCCACATACCCTGAAGGAATTTGAGACAGAGCTTGAAACAGTTGGGAGCATCAAGCACCGGAATCTGGTCAGCCTCCAAGGTTATTCCTTGTCCCCCTTTGGGAACCTGCTCTTCTATGACTATATGGAAAATGGCAGCCTCTGGGATCTCCTCCATGGTAAGAATTCAAAGTCTTCAATCTTTGTAGAAGTGCTAAAATGCATGCATGTTTTACTTGCATAGGTCATAAAAAGCTGGTGTTGCAATTGCCTGATCAAACATTATTTGAGGGTTGATATCTTTTCCAGTTATGTCCATAAACCATATCTTTATGTTTGGGATTATTAGTCTAGAAGTTTTTGCCTGAAAGTAGTTTGATCCTTGTTTTGGATGACTGGTAGTTGTAACTGCAAAAGGCCATATGCTTGGAGCTTGCTTTCATGTGTTTATGCATGACATTACACTTCTATCAAACCAAATGCTCTTGTTGCCTGTAGTTATCTTAAAATGCTAATGAGCCAGGCATCTATATAGTACCTGATATGCAGATAAATATAAATTAGATTTATTTCTCACCTGTCTTTCCAGGACCTTCAAAGAAGAAGAAACTAGATTGGGACACTCGCCTTCGGATAGCATTAGGAGCATCTCAAGGGCTGGCATACCTACACCATGACTGTAACCCACGCATAATCCACAGAGATGTGAAGTCATCCAACATACTGTTGGATAAAGATTTTGAAGCCCATCTCACTGACTTTGGAATTGCCAAGAGCTTGTGTATTTCCAAGTCGCACACCTCAACCTATGTTATGGGAACAATAGGCTACATTGACCCTGAGTATGCTCGAACCTCCCGTCTCACTGAGAAATCTGATGTCTACAGCTATGGAATTGTACTGCTTGAACTTTTGACTGGAAGGAAAGCTGTGGACAATGACTCCAATCTCCACCAACTGGTTAGAGTTCTTATTTGTAATCCAGATAATTTCAGTAGGCAATGCTACTGGTTAGCTTGCCACCTTTTGTTTTTTTTTGATCTGACTAAAAATGTTTGCTTCTACTCATTGTTGCATCGTTATGCCAATGGTTTCTCTCAGCCAGTTGCTGTAATTGTGTTCCTTACATCCCATTAATCACAGGTCATGTCCAAGACTGCCAACAACGCTGTCATGGAGACCGTTGATCCAGAAATCTCAGCCACATGTAAAGATCTTGGAGCAGTAAAGAAGGTGTTTCAGCTGGCCCTTCTCTGCACTAAGAAACAAGCCAGCGATAGGCCAACAATGCATGAGGTGACTCGGATCCTTGGGTCCCTCGTGCCCTCAGAAGAAACTAAATGCTTGCACCAACAATTTGCACTTCAAGCACCAGTGTCTCCCACCAAGACCAACGTGTCGAGTTACATGGACGAGTATGCCAAACTCAAGAACCCACACATGGTAAATTGTGCATCCCTGAGCACCTCAGACGCACAACTATTTCTTAAATTTGGAGAGGTCATTTCGCAGACCACCGAGCGACCAAAATTAATGTAAATCTCCAGTGTATGAAGATCTAATATCATAAAATTGAATAACAGCAATTGATGATTTTACTGAACGTTTATAAGGTGTACAGTTCATGGCATTTTTCCTAGGGCAATTACTTTGGCAAGTCTCTACTCAAGTTGGGAATCCACATTCCGCGGCATTAGGCTCACTTCACCAACTGGGAATTGATTGATGCAGGCACGCAGCCCCTCCCTCCCTTAAGGGAATCGGTCCTTTTCTTCTTCTTGCAAATCCAAACAATAGATAGACTGAGAATACCGCTTCCAAGGTTGCAAGTCTATTACCGCCATATTGGTATTTGGTATGGTATCGATGGGTCCAACAATGATGTTGAGTTGGCTAAATTCTGCTGCTGGTCAATTGTCATGACTCGTGATCTAGATTAGTTCAGTGGCTCGATTATGAATTGGTGGATTTGTATGATTAAAACTAAGCTCCCAACCATTTATTAAAGGAAACCAAGTAGTCCAGACCCACCGAAACTAACGTCCAAGAGCAAGACATCTACGCGAAGATGTTGTCAATCAAATAGTCACTGCAGAGAATAACTCTGCTGTTGTTATCCCAATGGTATACTGCAACTCCCAAGTTCGGATATGGGTTGTTTCTAGGTTGGTAATGTGCCCCACTAGCATCTGGGTGCAATGATAAACGAGAAGGGTTTCAGAAAATGCCACAAATTGTTTAGCTGGGTCCAAAAAGAGTTAAAAAGATATCTCAAATATAATACACACTACATGTTTAGTGGTTTTACCCGAATGGTCGTAGGCTGCATTTTGCATTCCTTAAAACTTATTTTCAGTACTTATCTCCTTTTTGTGGTTATGAACATTGAGTTTTTAATTGCGAAAAGGAGATAAGTTCTCAAAATAAGGAATGCCAAATGCAGCCTAAGCCCCTGAGGCTGTCCAACATAGCAATAACCCTATCAGAAATTGGTGAATGAGCAGTGCTGGCTGTATCCCCCAGATCTACGCAATGTCATGTTAATATATAGATCAATGTGGGTACTAGGCTCTAAAAATCAAGAATAGAGACTGGAGAGGACTCAACTGTTTCCCACTATTTTACTGAAGTCTTGAGCAGTTGATGCTGAACTGTTTCCCACTATTTTACTAAATTTACACCACGTTAATAATAATTGAATTCTGCTCTGGACTCCGTTCCTGCTTTTGTAGGGTTAGGTCCATGTCCAGTCCAATGTCCACCCTTCCCACCTAAGAACTCAGATGGCTAGGACCAATATTGCGTAATGGCATTTACTCAGCTCCTACATTTTCTTTGGAGCAGTGCAGTGTTGTTGTCAATGGAAAAGTGAGGATTAATGTTGGAAAACCAGTGGGATGCTAATAAAAAAGTACTCACCAAAGAAAAAAGAAAAGATAAGTAATTGCCTTTAACGTTTTAACACTTTAACCTTGCCTTAACTACAGCCATCAAATACTGGATCATACATCATACACTATTATTATTTATTTATTTTGCACAAGTATGACCTTTAAGAATTATAACTAATGACAGTTTCCTTTAAAAATTTCAACAGCTATCTTCATGATGGAACATCTGAGAGATGAATGTGATAACTAGTAATTCTAATTTCTAATTTGATTTCCTGCATTCGAAACTATATTTAGATGGTAATTGATGATACTGTGGAGGGGTGGTCTGAGGCTGCACCAAAGTGAGCAGGACGATGTGATACATCGAGCGTGACCTGCAAGGGAGTAAAGTCAGAGGCCTCCAGGACGTTTTTCAGGGAGAGGCACTTTGATGCTCAAGTCAATAAAGGGAAGAGAAGGTCGGCTAGGCCGACCTACTGAGCACAAGCTGGCCTTAACTGAGTTGTGCTGAAGAATAAGAGGGCAAGAAGGCTATAGAGTTGAGAGAGTGGAAGAAGAGAGATATACTTTGAGAGAGTGCCTTTAAATGCCTAGGGGGAGCGCAACGACGCTCCTTGCTTGTCAAGACACATGGCACGGGCCGAGGTGCCCATCATCCGAGGTTCTAGGGCGGCTCCAATTCATTCATCGTAGGTGGTTAAGGAGGATTTGTCCTTTGGCCACATGCCCCTCATCGTCTGGGCTTCTCAATTAGCCCTACAATTGTTACTCTGCTCTTGATGCTGCTGATCCAATTTGATGATGTGGCCGAGCCAATGCTTGAACTGCAGCACATCATGTCCGAGGTGGGGATCCAATTGGGCCGAGGTACGACCCCATCCATACCTGGCAATTGGGTTGGGCGGGTCGGGTTTGGGTTTGGTCAAAACACTTTAGATTGATTTCGGGTTGGATTAGCATATGCTATACCCTAATCCAAAATGTTCGGGTTGACCCATGGGTCAATTTGAGTCAATCCTAAAAATAACTGAAGTTTAAAAAGTAAAGAAAAATACATGAAAATGTCAAAATTAAAGGAATTAACATTGAAATTCCAAACATTAAATAAAAAAAAACCTTCAAATTCAAAGAATAAACGATAAATAATAAAGACTAAATAGTAAAGATTAAAGAATGAAAACTTCTAACAATACATAAATAATCACAATTAGACCCGATAATCGAGTTAGCAGGTTGACCCATGACCCGACCCGACCCAACCTTTTTAGGGTCAGGTTGGATCATTCTCATATTAAGGTGGCTGGATATGAGACCCTAACCCTGTTTTTCGGGTTGGATCGGGTCAGGTTCGCAAGGTTGGGTCAACTTTTTGCCAGGTCACCAATAATTAATTACGAGCAGAAATGAAACACAATAAAGGGTTAGTAAGAATAAGACAGACCCTATCACAAGGAAATCCCACCAGAGATCTCTGGTGGGACTAGGGGTGGTGGTTTGGTGCCTCCAGGATTGAATGTTTTTTGGTGAATTTTCCGCAGACAATTTGGCAAGCGGACAGGATGATTTTACATGTTTAATGCTCAGGGGAATTGAACACATAATTCAACAGGTACAACCTAGAAGATCTTCCATGCCATAAACCAGGTTCCTATTTTAATGCTCATACTCAAAATTGAGTTCCATGGAGCTAGGCTGATGGGGTAGCAAATACAACTAATTTAATTAAAACTTAGAAAAGGAAGTTAACATGAGGTAGATCCGTTTACTATCTATTTGAAGAAAACAAGTGACCACAGGGATATTTTTAATAAACACTCTTTGGCTCGTGTACAATCCCACCAGTGATCTCCATAACCACATCTTATAAGATCCATAAAATGAGACGAGCACTACAGAGATTGTGCAATGATTTCTGGATCGCCATTGACATGTACATAAAGCATTCTGGGTTTTACTTGAACTAGTTTCAGTTCCATTAAACTGATCCGCCCTGTGTTTGCATCCTCTGGTTCTCTCAAAACTGAAATATATATGATGACTGGTTCAGAAATTATCTGTACATCAATGAATTGTAGCAGGATATTCTTTAACAGGTACCAGTCGTAGTATGAGTGAAAACGGCCTCCACCCTGTCAAGTGATGCATGCAGCCGTCCTGAATTCAGGTTGAACAATGGCTCTCCAGTGCCTACAGCCCTGTTTCAAAGTGAAAGATTTCAATCATGAGAATTTGAAAAACAAATGGAAAAACAAGGGTGTCCATTCTTTAATAAACAATGTGAACTACAACGATCAGGAGTGGTTGGATTATTGAAATTCTTAGGTCTACTGTTGATAAGAGCCGTTATGCCAATAATCTTTCATAGTTCACTGCACTCATGATTTCCTAAGTAAATGTAGAAGATCAAGTACGTACCCATGAATCTCTGGAAGGACATATTCTGCCCTCCATCCAAACCGCAAATCCATTCCTGGGAACAAGCCGATGGATGTCTTGTTCTGTATTCGTGAAACACCATCTCCACCAAAACATGTAGAAAGCTTCCATTTCCAACCAGTTGCATGCAACAGAAAACTGTGGCCTATACCAATCTGCATTGTTTCAAGGTTAATAATAACTAGGATAGTGAGTGATCAATTAGTTCCACAAGTTTCAAATTTTACCATTTTAGTAGTAGCGTGGGATTTAGAAACTAGTTTTTTTTTTCCTTCTTTCATTTCTTATCTGCTATTTTCATGCTATTGCAGGGTGAAAGTGGTTAATCAACTCTGCAAAAGCGGTCCAGACATATAAATTGCTTTTACAAGTTTTGTTATTAGTCTGAAATAGCATATATTATCCCATACATGAAAGATTCAGACATTTTTTTTGGCAAATCTCCTTCTTTTCATGGGATAGAAATTTGAATAAAAAAGTGAACCAGGAAAATGCATCTAACCTGAAGATTTAGGAATTTGGTAACTGGTATCTTTTTGGAGAGAAGGCGAACATCATGATGTATAGGCTCATATATAAACTTCCACATCCGCTCAGGCGCTAATGGCTTTAATACCAGCTTTGCCTGGAACTCATTGGTTGGAGCATTGTAGAACTGAGCCAGAAAAGTGAAATGAATAAATCACAAATTCTGATTAACATTTGTTATGTCCTAGAATAAACAGATTGCAAGGATCCGTTTCTTCTACAATTTTAACCATCAATCATCTGTTCTTAAAATGCTCAGAATGTAAGGTATAATTCCTGATGTATTTGTGGTGTTAAGGAGCATGCAGTACCGACTACCACATGACAGATCCCAGTAACAGCATCACTTTTTTTAAACCAATCAAGCATGGGTTTTCATTTTCACATCCAAGTATGCATCACCTAACTTTTAAGTGAAAAGAACACATTCAGAGGAAAATGTGAAAAAGAAAGAAAAAGAATGACCATTCCAAATTCTTTGGCTAACAGGAGAAGCCTTGCGAGTTCTCATCAGAGCAATTGATAATGAATATATGCTATACTCAAAGATGAAGCAGCCGGTGAAGCATTAAAAGAAAACTCAGCAATATAACAAAGGCAAGAAATCTTCTTAGAAGCATTTCCTTTGGCAAGTGAAGCAATTAGATTATTAGAAATTCAACTTCTCAGATACCAACGTTTGATAACTGTCTCAATATCCTTGTGGTCATAGAAACAATGCATCAAGAAACATTTGATCCAGTTAGTTATTAATTTTATAGGAATAAACATTTCCCATAAGTACTTAAACAAAGCAACCGAAAAGAAGGCAGTATGTTACTAGTTGTTTCAGCTTGTTATTCAAAGGCTGTCTGGGACACAATGTGTCCAGGTGATGACCAATTGGGGTACAATGAAATGGGCATAGAACGAAACAAGAATGTTTGGGCAACAAAGTACCTCCAGATTAAGGCCAAGACGGATGCCCTCAATTTCTTTCCGGAACTTGAGAAACAACTCCGACGGAACCAAATTTACGTTGTAAAGTTCATCCCATGAAGCCGGTTCTTCGTTGTTCGACCCCGACTCCATTTTCGACGGCTCGAGACAGCTCAGTGTTCTAGGGTTTCACCACAAAGAGCGAGGATATACACGTGGTCTCGCACAGAAGGAGGATGGGAACTGAAGGAATTGTTATTCTCTTGAAGCCATGGGGGTTATTGCAGGCATCCCTACAAACCACTGTTCATGCTTGGTTTTCCTCGCTTCGGATTGAACGACGGAATGAAGGATAATAGAAGGTTCAGAACGGCTCTCTTCAATCATCTCAGTCTTAGCTAGTGGCTTACTGGCTTTAGTTGGGTTTATACTTTATAGGCAATCGCAATTTACCTCAAGTGCCCCATTATCTCGCAAAAAGCGAACGGCRATTTATGTGGTACCGATAAGCTATATCATACCTTAAAAAATATTCGAGTACAAATACAAATATATATGGAGTGCCAAAGTAAAACCTTGCATTTTATATTTTTAAATTTTATACTATACATATTTATATTTATATTCATATTCATATTCTTCGCAAACTGAGATTAATAACAAAACTACAAAAGGCATGCCTTATAGACAGAGTTCTTTTAAGCCCCAGTCCCAGAGAATTACAGTCGATAGGGAAAATGAGAAATCTCGACTTGCCCTTGCCAGCTCGTCTGTGTCTCACAGTGTCTGGAATCTGGATACCCGCAAGACGGCAAGAGGAGAGAAGTCCGGCAGTTGATCATCTTATACATAGCGGAGCGCAGGGATCAGCTATTCCGTTCCGGTTCCGCACCAGATTCGATCACAACCCAAATTACCACTGTAATTGTAATTTGGGGTAGTAGTTACACTTGCATTTAGCCCCTCAACTTTTATTTGCGAAATAAACATTGTTGATGCTCGATTTAGTCGAAGACAATACTGTAAATTTATTCTTTCTTTAAGTCCGAGAAGGATCGAGGTATCCAAGGTCCGAGGACCGGTATAGCCGAGGTGATGGAGATCCGAGGTCCGAGGACTTCAAACTTTTATTTGCGACATAAACATTAAACCCGCTTGTCTAAACTTTCATATTCCAACTGGACCACTTTGCTCCTTCCTGCGTTGCTTAACTTTCAAAAAATTCTCACTCGACTATTATATACTTGTTTAATTTTTTAATTCTTCGAACTAACACTTTGTCCTTTCTAAATCCTTTTCTTTTTTTTTTTTTTTTCTTTCTTCTTGTAGAAAAAAAAGAGATAACATGCTTTGCCCTATGTATGTTTTTGTCATTTTGAAATTATTGTCCTTCACTTATAAAATTCTTGAAAGGGCAATTTAGTAAATTACCTTTTTCTATCAATGACTACTGCTAGAATCTAATAGCTCAAGGGAGTTGATGAGGGCGGATTTGGCCCTCCAATGATATTGTGACACATGGCACCTCGGAACAACTGGGTGATATCCGGAACCACTTAGCCAAGATGACGGTGTCCCGAACTGGTGACCAGGCACAGGCGTCGACCTGGCGGCTTGGCACTGACGCCGACCTGGTGACCAACCTTTATGCCGAATTGACGACCTAACTAGCAGGCCAACAGCTCACTCTGACATGCCAAGTCCGCAATGGATCGAGCTCTGATAACCAGACCACCTTGGGACAAGTCTACCTCAGGACGAGTATACCTCGGTGCAAGGTCACATCAGGACCACATCGGTCCCAAAGCACTTCGGCATTCATATCAGGTCGGATCTAAAGAGCACGAGTTTAGGCAATGCTGACTGACCACTGCATGGAACCGCGGGAATCTCGTCACCGTACTCCGTGTCTTACGGGATCATACATTGTAACGGCTAAATATCATCTCCCCACTCCCCGATTCAGGCGGAAATGGTCAGCCTTACTGGTTGGTAGCGTTATCCCCAACTAACATGGAAACGGATCCTGTCGCAACGAGAATTCCAGACCTACTCCACCGAACCCACAAGGACTCCACTATATAAAGGCTCCACCCCCCGAGGGTGAGGGAGGAGACGTAATCTCTGCTCTCTAGCTCTCTTATAATCTAATATCATTTTCAGCTCGCAACCAAGTGCTAACTTAAACATCGAAGCGTCCCCGCTGGATAAACAACCACGGGTTCTCTGGTTCATTTCTTGCAGGTTCATCAAGCCCGTCGTTACTGGTAGCCAGATCATCTCCTGCAGGGAGTAGTTGGATTGCACTACATCAGGAGTTTTTCACAAATGAAAGTTTAGAAGGCTTAAATATCAAAAATCACATCTACGCCCCACAACACATCGCAACCATGTATTGGAAACACCTCCCAATGACAAGTATGATTGATGTGCCTGTGGGGTGCATATGTGAATTCTAAAAACCAACCGAGGGCTGGCTCGGTGTATTAATTGGTTTGTTCCAATCAAATCCTGCAACCAATGCTTTGGGGAAAAAGGGATTAGGGGGAAGTTATTAATGAATACCAAAAATAAGATGTGAACTCTAAATATCACTACCCTAAGCTAGGAGCTTGATGTATATTTTTGCAAGCTCATAAAACAACTAAGCTAACAAATTTTTCTTTTTCGGTGACAAAGATCAACTTTCATTACCCTAAGAAGCAGTACAATAGCTGGAGTTTTCTTCAACCCAATTCGCCACTCATATAGGCATGGCCTCTGTGAACTGCCCTGACTCCCTTGACCCCATACGAGCCAGCTTGTGAGCCAGCATATTTACATCTCCTAACTCTTTTTACAAAAGAAAACGTAAAGTCAGAGCCCTTACAAAGGGCTAAAATATCCTTAAAAAGGCTTCTTTACGTTCCAAAACAAAAGGACCATAAAATAATAATTTCGCTAACTGGATACCTTTTAGACAGGCCACTGCCTCTCCTTGCAAAGGGGAAGAGCTAGAGTACGTAGGGACAAAAAAAAAAAAAAAAAACCCAGCCTGAACCTCTCCAAAACGATTCCTGATCACTACCCCAAACCTATAGAACTGCCTTTTCAAAGCTATCATCGACATTAGTCCTTAGAACATTTTCTTAGGGAGCTTGCTAAAATATTCCTAGTCTGCACTATTAGGAATTTGCGAAGAATCTGGCCATCTTTGTTGCAAAACCGTCCTCCTCTACTTCCAAGACCTGTTTAGGATAAATAGAGATAGGTCAGGGCCAGGCAAATTAAAATGTTTTCAAAGATACATTTATTTCTGCTTTTGCAGAGAGTCCAGAGCAGATGAGCTGAAAAGCTAAGCAGCTCTTCCTTCCTGGATTTGTCTAAAGAGCACTTGCCTATCCAAATTTCCAGCCAGGCTGCAAAAGAGGGGAAAGATGAAACCTAATCAGTATTGTAGTTGAGCATAGAACCGAAAAAGACTAGCTTTGCATGGTCACAGCTGAATAGGGCATGCATCACTGATTCTGGTTTTTTATCACATATTTGACAAATAGCAAATTTGGATAATCCGTTTTTAACAATATTTTCTTTTACAGCTAAGGCATTCCAAACATACCTCCAAAGAAAGTGTCTGATGGGTCAACTTTCAGCTTCCAAATTTCCTTCCATATCCTTTTGTTTTACAAACTGGAATCAACTAATGAAGCCAAGATTTCTTGTTTATTAACTCTTTTTTCTATGAAGTAGGCTGATTTTATAGTGAATTTTCTTGAAGAGTTTCCTTCCAAGACCAGTCTGTCCTCCCAATTCCCATCAGCTAAGTTGATTTTTGTAATTTGGTTTGCAATTTCCTTGGTGAACAAATTCCTAATCAGATTCAGATTCCAGAATCTTTTATCTTGGTTTATTAATTCATTGACCCATATTGGACCATTATTATTCATAGGTTCAGGTTCCATAATTCTATAATTTGGAAGCTCCCCTTGCCAGGGTCCTTCCCAAATCTTTACTTTATCACTTGAATTGACTTCCCAGCAAGCTCCACATTTCAGCACCTCCCTTCTAGCTAGAGGCTTTGCAAGCTTGTTTAGCATGGAGGGCCAAGCTTGTTCCTTCTCCACATTCCTAGGGGCTCTTCTTCTAGAGATTGTTTAGTTTCCTTTGTACACAATCTCTAAACTTGTTTAGCAAGGAGAGCCAAATTAAAGCAGAAGGGATCTCTAAACCTCGGTCCCCCATCATTCTTGTTTTTGCTTGTTATTTCCAAGTTTATCCAATGAATTTTCTTTGAGTTATTCTAAGCACCCCACCAAAACTTTCTTGGGGCTTTTGCCATCTCATCACTCACCTTTGTTTGTAAGAGAATGCATGACAAACTAACAAACTTGATCTCCTTTTAGGCTCAGAAATAAATTATTTTCAGTCTATTGCACCTATATTTGACATATCCATCTTCAACTCCATAAAGTCAATTTGGATATTTTATAAAAACTGAGGAGAGGGCCTTGTAGAATGTAGAGCACAGCAATAAAACATTTCCTTTAACGTTGTGTTTCTAACTTAAAAACTCGGTTTGGAAGGAGTACAAAAACAAATATGTACAGTACAAAACCTTGCATTATTTTGTATATATTTATATTTGTATTCATTCCAAACTGAGCTTATGTAAAAAAGATAAAAACAAAATTCTGCATCTTGTAGTTGATACTATCAATGTTTTCAACCAGCCGTTCAGCGTTTATCCAGACAGTTAAATCATTTTAACCATCATCCAATCACTTATTTTTAACGGAAAAGTACGGACAGGTCTAATGCAGATTTTTTATTCCCACCGCAAAACTATAAATATTCAGAAGGTCCAAAAACCACACTCTATGCACCCATACTCACCCGTGAATTGACATCAATTCTGAGCTGGCACCTACCCCAAATGTACTTTGAACCTACAAATTCTGACTTTGGGGTTATCGGTCATTCTCCCTATTTTTAATCTGATTTTCCTAAAACTCAGAAATTGATAAAAAATCTGTCTAATCCAGGTGGATAACTTTTCAATATCTATGTATTCTCAAGACATATTTGCTATTTTTGTAAAAAGAAAACCCCCTCTTTTTTTTACTCTAACAAGTGAACTGTTCACTTGCGACCCAGAGACAAAAAGGGTTCAGCCTCTGGATCAGTTTTTAAAACACTGAATATAATGATTTAGAAGGATTTCCTTGAAGTCTGGAACGTAGCAAAATATAGGAGCTCCAGAGTCCAGACCCTTAAATGGGCCTTATATCCCGAGTTTGACGTCCATTCTGAATCACAATTCTTAATGGGCCTTATTACCTTACCCAATTTAGCTTCGGCCCCCACAAGATTGCCCCCACCACAGTACATCTCCGTCGTGTATTGGGAACATTTATTGATGATATACTAGAAATGGTGATATCATCATGGGAAGATGTTTCCAATACACGGCGGGGATGTGCTGGGAAGTTGTGGGGGCTGATCCTCCTCTACCTTTCTAAATTTTCAAATCTACCAGTCCAACTGGTTTCTAGTTACTTAAGCCAAACCCAACGGCTTTTCAACCCTCTCTCTCTCTCTCTTTCTCGTACACACACAGAAAATTGATAATGCTGTCTAAGATTCGAATCAGATCTGTCTATCGAGTATCGATTCACTTCAATGTCCTAGCTATTTTTCTTGCGTCAAACGTTTGAAGCTTGATTTGAAAGTGCGAAGCTCGAAACTTTTCTTCTCTGTTCTGAATTTATTGCCTTTTAGTTTTCTCACTCCGTGAAGATAATTAGGTGGATAAGTACTGATATGAATGCACAAAGATTTCAAATTTCTTTTCTGAATTCATTGGCTCTGTCTCGATATGATGTCTTGACTGTTTATTCTGCTATTTTTTATCACTTCATTGAAGAACAGGGGAGGAAAAGATGGTTCCGAAGATGAGGTCCTTTAAGTATTATTTTGCACAGAGAAGTAAGGAGAGGCTGCTTTCCCAGAGCTTGAAGGAAGGGTATTCAGAAATTGGGTTGGGTAGCATGGACGGACATGATGGAAGAACAAGATGCTGGTGTAGTAACTTTACGACAGAAACAATTACCAACTTATGGACATGGCTGCAACAGATTGCTTTTGAGGCATGGAATTTCGGTCGTTCCGACCCAAGAAAAATCATATCCTCAGCCAAGATGGGACTGGCACTGGTGCTCATTTCACTTATCATATTGTTCAAGGATCTCAGTCAAAACTCTGTTTGGGCGATTATGACAGTCGTTGTTGTTTTCGAGTTTAGCGTAGGTAATGCATTTTTGCCTGTTAATTTTGATGCTGTAACTGGATTTATCATCTGTGATAATTTGTTTTAAAGGTTGGTGGCTTGAATCCTTTCACAGGAGCTACTCTTAGCAGAGGATATAATCGTGGTTTGGGAACATTCTCCGCTGGAGCCATCGCTCTGGTCATGGCGGAGCTATCTATATTAACTGGAAACTTGGAAGAAGTCTTCATTATTATCAGTATTCTTATCACAGGTCTTGTATTAGTGGTTCGATACTACCATATTTAGATTAATTTAGAAAGAAACTGTCTTTATATTTATGTCATCTTTCTTTTCTTATTTAGTTTTTCTTCTGGGTATTAAAACCTCTGTTTTTGTTCTCTTGATTGCTGTTTTTGGCACCTTTTCTGGTAGTCAGCATTCTGTGTTAACTTCGTGAAAATGTACCCACCAATGAAGCAATACGAGTATGGATTTCGTGTATTTTTGTTGACATATTGTTGCATAATGGTATCTGGGGAAACAATAAAAGAATTTTTCGACACAGCAGTAAGTCGCTTGTTGCTCATTGCCCTTGGAGCTGCTGTTTGTTTGGCTGTAACTATTTTCGTATACCCAATTTGGGCCGGGGACGACTTGCACAACTTGGTGGTAAAAAATTTCATGAATGTTGCTACTTCTTTGGAAGGTGAGATCGATGAATTTCCATATTTCCATTACGGGTTATATGAATGCTCAAGTCTGTTAACATTTCATATTATTCCCATATCTCTGCTCCATTGTTTCGACAAACTCAACTGAATTCTCCACGTTTCTTACCTGACAGGGTGCGTCAATGGATACCTGCAATGTGTGGAATATGACAGGGTACCTTCAAAAATTCTCACCTACGAAGCTTATGATGACCCAGCATATAGCAGCTATAGATCAGCTGTAAACTCTACTAACCAGGAAGATACCCTGGTATGTATGGTTTTATTGCAGTTATCTATGGCAACCTGCAACTCCTTGGACGAAAGGAAGTATCTACTCATGTTAGATTGTTCTTATCGCTTGGTCATCTAGGTTTTGCCATCTGGGAACCACCCCATGGACGTTATAGAATGTTCAAATATCCATGGAAGAACTATGTCAAAGTGAGTGACGCACTGAGGCATTGTGCATTCATGGTCATGGCTTTGCATGGATCTATGCTTTCTGAAATACAGGTGATTAAGCTTTCTTCTTTACAAATTCTTTTAGTAGCTTTTTCAAGAATATACATCTCCATTTTCAGTACCTTATCTCTCAAGGATGCTTTCCTTTGTGCAATCATATCAGAATGAAATTTTGTTATAATTTCCCATGCATGGGCATTTCTTCTCATGGACCATACTGCATCAGTAATGGATTCTTTTGTTAGTTTACACCCATAGGCCATAGGCATCGAACTATATATATATATATATATATATATATATTCCAAATACTCCAAATTATAGCAGATGATTTTCTTTTTTTTTTTTGGTAATTGAGCATAACAATGTTTACTTTAAAGAATTCGATTGGATTAGAAAAAATGTGGTGCAATTTTATGATGCAAAAAAATTAGGGAAAATTCTAGTCAGCTGGCTCAACATTTAAAATAATGTTGCAGATTGGTTCAAAAACCAATAAAACTCTAACAACAGGTTGTACATTTCAAATTATAAAAACCCCCGCCATGTCATCGGAAGGTTTATGTGACTGTTGCCAACATGAGACTCTTAATCCATGTTGGACACAGCATGGATTATTTGAAAATAAAAAAAAGGGGTTTTCACTTTCTCTCCCACTCCCTTTGTCTTTCAATCTCCCTCCCACTCTCTCACACTCTCACAGTTGTCTCTCCTTGCTCAATGACTATGTGATTTGAGAAAAGGGTTTTACATTCTCTCAGTCAATCTCTCTCGCTCTCTCCCTCTCTGTCAATCTACTGTTCTCCCTCAATTTCTCTCATTCTATTTCTCGTTTATCTCTCCTTCTCCCACATTTTCTCTCTCAGTCGATCTCTCCTTCTCCCTCAATCTCTATCATTCTCTCCCAGTTTCTTTCCCGCTCCCTCTCTTGTTCTTTTTTTTTTTTAATTTTTTTTACACACTTATACGGCATTAACTAGACCATATTAAAGAACATAAGACCAACTTGGTATGATTCTAACTCTCTCTCAGCCCAATTTGATAAAAATTCACAAGAAACTCTTGACTATGAAATTTACACCAACTCGATGGAAATTTATAACTTGATTGTACAAGTTGTTGCTCCCTTGACTAACTTATAACTTATATAGTCTGATCAATACTGCATAAGTTTCTATGAAAAATTAAAAGAGATGAGGGAGGGAGTGGGAAAAAGACTGAGGGAGAACAATAGAGATTGAGGGAGAATGAGAGATCTAGAGAGAGAGAGAGAGAAAGAGAGAGAGAAAGAGAGAGAAACAGATATTTTGATTTGGTTGTAGACTAAAGCCGAGAGAGTGGAAGAGACAGAGGGAGCGGGAGATTGAGAGATGACTATGAGAGTGAGAAAGTGGGAGGGAGTAGGAGAGACAAAGGGAGTGGGAGATCAAGAGATAGAGGGAGTGAGAGAGACAAAGAAAGGGAGCTAGAGACCGAGAGGCAGAGGGAGCAAGAGAGACAAAGGGAGCTAGAGACCGAGAGGCAGAGGGAGCAAGAGAGACAAAGGGAGCGAGAGATCAAGAGACAAAGGGAGTGGGAGAGACAGAGGGAGTGGGAAATTGAGAGACAAAGGGATTTAGAGATAGATGTTTTGATTTTGGTATAAATTTTTTGCTGTGTTCAATATGGATTAAGAGTTCTATGTTGGCAACAACCACGTAAGCCTAATGACATTGTGGGGGTTTTTATAATTTGAAATGTACACCCAGATGTTAGAGTTTTTTTTTTTTTTTGATCCAACCTGCAGCATAAATTTAAATGTACAGCCGGCACTGACTATAATTTTCCCAAAATTTTAGGAACCAAGACATTCGAATGTTTCTTAAATTTTATATAACAATGTCTTTTAAGGTTTAATGCTGTTCAAAACAGAGTGTTTCCAACTTTTGCACTAGTGGAAATTAAAATCAATTTTCCATCTTGTTTAAGAGTTCAAATTTACAGGCCCCTGCAGAAAGGAGACTGGCCTTCAACAGTGAGCTGCAACGGGTAGGTACTGAAGGTGCTAAAGTGTTGCGTGAGCTTGGCAATAAGGTCAATAAAATGGAGAAGTTGAGCCCTGGTGACATTCTCTCCAAAGTGCATGAGGCAGCAGAAGAATTGCAAAAGAAGGTCGATAAAAAATCATACCTTCTCGTCAACTCAGCCAAATGGGAGATTGGAAGAAGGGCAAAAGTCCTGTCAGATCCAGAGGACACCGATGAGGATCTAGATGATAAAACCAAGTTCCTGGCAAAGTCACTGAGTGAAACTGTGCTGGACCTTAGATCAGTCAAACTATCAAAGAGCTGGAATGTTCACAACACTAACACGAGTGCTCCCACCTCACTGCTAGAAGATGATTTATCTGAAAATATGTTCAAGAAACAGATATCATGGCCTTCACGTTTCTCACTCAATTCTAATATGGCGCTTAGTGAAGAGTCATCCACATATGAAAGTGCAAGTGCATTGTCTTTGGCTACATTTTTTTCACTTCTAATGGAGCTCGTTGCAAGGCTTCAAAATCTTGTTGATTCATTCAAAGAACTCAGTGAGGAAGCCAATTTTAATGAACCTTCCATTGACCCACTAGTGCCAGAAGAGATAGGTGGGATTTGAATCAGATTATATAGCTTTTACAAATTCAAGAGTTGAGATACAATTCGTCTTTGAATGTCATTGATTGATTAGCGTAGTTAATTAGCCCTTAAAATGATCGATCCAAGGAGTGTCAGTGTGTCACTATCCACTGTGAAATAGTGAAGTAGTCCTTACAATGAAATGGAATTGATTAGACGAAACTAAGCTAAATGGCAGTTCTTGATTGCATAGAAGCTTTTAAATAACTCTGTTATAACTGCGGGAATTATCAAGCAGGTACGATGCATCTCAGCTCAAGTAAACAGGTTATGATGGATGGATGTATTGAAATTTCTCTGTTATTGGACCCTGTTTTGCTTGTACATAGTCCGAAGAAAGTTTATTGTAATCAATTTCCATAGTGCATTTCATGGTATATCTTCAACACTGCTGATCTATCTACAAAGTTTTCTTTGCTTGATCAGAGTTAACAAAAGGTAAAAAACAGAAGAAGAAACGCCACCCGATAGTTTGACTAGAAAAATCCTTCGACTGGGTACGCATCACAATCCCTACTATCTTGGATTGATCTGGGCATCTGAAACTTCTCCTACAGGAATACCCATAACGTACTCTATCTCCTCTGCAACTTCTTTCATGGAAGGCCGATTATGACGCCGTTCATCCAAGCACCCTATGGCTACAAGGCCCAATGCCTTCATGCTCTCCAATTCAAGGCGGGTTGTTCCCTCCTTGAGCATGGGGTCAATGGTATCCATCAACTTCTTCTCCTCCAGCTTCTGCTTCACATAAGCTACCAAGCTGATACTATCATTTCCTCTTTTGAAATCAATGGCTTTCTGTGCAGTCAATAATTCCAATAATACAACCCCAAAACTGTAGACGTCGCTCTTGTCCGTCAACTGGTAGTTCCGGTAATATTCAGGGTCGAGGTAACCCAAAGTCCCTTGAGCACAGGTAGAGATGTGGCTGAGATCAATCTCGGCAAGCCTAGATAGTCCAAAATCTGAGAGCTTGGCGTTGAACTTCTCGTCTAGTAAGATGTTGCTCGACTTGACGTCTCGGTGGTAGATAGATGGCACAACGGAGGAGTGGAGGTAGGCAAGACCCTCGGCCGTCTGGTGGGCGATACTGAGGCGCCTGCGCCAAGTTAGCATGGACGACCGTCCACCCGGATGTAGGTGGTCGTAGAGAGTCCCATTGGGGATGTACTCAGAGACCATAAGGGGCTGTTGGAGCTCAACACAGCATCCAAGTAAGCGTACGAGGCTGCGGTGGTTCACTTGACAGAGGATCCTAACTTCATTGAGGACCAAATTGGTACTCTTGGTGTTTCCAAGCTTTGCGCACTTAATGGCAACGACTGTGCCATCGGTAAGGACGCCCTTGAACACCTCTCCATAGCCACCGGAGCCAAGAACCCTGTCCTTGGAGAAGTTATTGGTTGCCTTCTTCATTTYTCTGCCGGTGAAGTTCCTAGCCGACTTGCCTCCGTTATTTGCATTTAGGATCTCTTGTCGCTCCTTAGCCAATCGTTCCCGAGCCTCCTTGATTCGCCGGTGCCGTTTGTATACAAGAATGCCAACGATAGCCACTATAAACGTCGCACCCAGGACCGACGTCACACCTGTTCATATTTCAATTAGTTACTACTAGTAACCACTAGTTACCACCATATATATATCTTTGATCATCAGTTCACTTCCATGTTAGAGTCTGCCTTCAATATAATGGTTGTATATGTTCTACCTGTTATTAATGGAGTTCGATTGGTCGAACGATCACAACCTCTGGGATCTTGACAAATTACATCTACACGAAAAGCGAAATGTGTTAGTTAATTAATTCCCGTTTTGGAGGCAAAACATGGAGCTTAGTTCTTTGCAGTAGGAAGTGTGATACTGTGATGTGGAGCAAAACTAACTGCTGGATCTGGACGGGAAAAGGAGAAAGAGAAATATGAAGCAATACTAACTGCTAGCACAGGATCCGATGATGGGGTTCCACCATAACCCAGTGTTGCAGAAACATCTACTCTGCCGGGGATCGACTGGGTCCGGCGAGCAAGCGGAATTCGATCCCTCGTTGCAATCTGCCTGCGACAGGCATAACGGCTCCGGAGGTAATGCCCACTGTATCTCCAACCCCGGTTGGGGCCACCTACTGACAGACAAAGAAGCATCTAAATTCACAAAACTTCGATAGGCTCTGCAACCACCCTCCCGAACCCTGATCATGTAAGAGTTGGTGGATCCGCCAGTCCTGAAAGTGCAGCAGATGGGAGCATCCACGCACGGAGCTGCCGCTGCCGTATCGTTGATGTAGGTGTGGCATAGGCTCCTTGACGAACAATTCAACGTTGACTGCAGTGCAAGGTCGGAGCAGTTGAGGTACAGGACGGTGTTGCTGCTGCTGATGTTGAAAGGGAGGCTGCTGTTGAGCTGGATGCCGTGGCTTCGGATATCGGTGGTCACGCAACTGTTGCCGGCAAAACTAGGTGGGCTGATAACGAACCGTTGGACCTCCGGGTTGATGGATAGGATGGTGTAGGATGAACCATTGAGTGTGTCGAATCGAAGCGTGCCTGAATCGCATCGTATCTTGTAGGATTGGTCACCACAGTCGGGTCCGGTGCTGAGTGGGTATGGTACGGTGGTGGTGCCACAGTCTCCGCAGTGCTTCGAGGCCGTGGAGCAGCCAAAGCATGACAGCAAAGCAATTGCACGAAGAAGAAGAAGAAGAAGAAGAGACAATGACATGGTTTTTGCCCGTAAGAATGGGAGAAGCCGGAAGCGGCATTCATTTGTAAAGGCATTACCCAAAGACCAAAGTCAAAAAAGAGAAAACCCAAGCAAAGGAATTGCTTGTTTTGACTTTTTTTTTCAATTGATGATGTTATCGGGGGGATTTTTCTTGGCTCATTCGAGGAAGGACGAATTCGTCCTCCCCGATTTTTTATTGGTTCAAGTCAATTAATAACAGCTAACCGTAACGGTAGCCTCACCCGTTAGTTTTTCCTACCTTATCCCAAGATATTTTCTTCTATAGAATTCAAATCAAAACAGAACAGAACTTCATTTGTGATTTCTATCTCCAAGAAAAACCCTACACCAAAGCAACTCATTTGGCGATTTCCCAACTCTCGAAAGTTCAAACAGAACGATTCTTCATCTACACATTCAATTTACTTTAGTACGCCAGTTTCGATTTTTTTTTTTAATCTTGTTTTGTTTATTTTCTAGATTTTTTAGTAGTACATTTCATTCAATTTGAGACTTGGTGCATGAGGGGGATAACATAATATATAGCTGAGAAGCATCTAATTGGTGGTTATCACATTTTTTTGGAGATCTGTTTTAGGAGAAACCATTTATTCTACTAAACTGAGTTGTCTATAATGATCAAGTCTATTCCCATCTGTCTGTTGATCCCAAATATCTGAATGAAATATGTTTTTTGAAGAGACAAAGTTCTCTGCAATTACTGAATTTCCTCCGGTGGAATTCTCTACACTTGAAACCAAGAGAGAAATATTATCACATGAAGTTTTTGAGTTTAGGCTATGAAAATCAATTTCCCTAAAATTGTTTTCTCCTTCATCAGATTCTTTAGAATATGAATCAGATTGTCTGGTGTAGTCTGCACCCCCCCAGTTTTTCTATAGTGAATACATGAAGAATTATAAACGGAACAAGAATATTGAAATAAAAAATGGTAGTACTCCTTTAAATATAGATTGGAGATGCAGCTGATCATAGAAAATGATCCTGTCTGGAAAGATGAGTTCTTTTTCTTAATTTAATCTGATTACAATAGTGTGGCTCAGTGCTTTCCTACCTGTGATTTACTCTTGATTCCATGGATGGACTGCAACTGGCAGAACTTGAAGAGCTACACTGTGATTGCTCCATGCTTCTGCGGATCAATCCAACCATATCAGTAGGCATCACTACTGTATAGGTAATGCGGAACCTGTCAGTCCTAGTAGAATTAGAATGAATGAAAAATCTATGGGTGGGTGAACAAAGAAAATACTTGAAAATAGAATTTTTATGCAACTTTTCTTACACTGAATAGAATTCTTATGTAACTGTTCTTACATTTAAATGCTTAGACCTTGCTTTCTTGAGAGGGAGCGAATGCACAAACAAACTTTGCAAGTATCCCTTTTCTCAACAACGTCTGATGGGGAGAAGAGATCAATATTAGTCAATCCCAAGATTTGGCAGATCTAGAAAATGAGAAGTACTGGTTAGATGAATAACCAATCGATGTTCTTATATACAGGGATTGAATGAAGCGTACTACTCAAAAAAAAATCGAGAAAATAAATAAAACAAGAGAAAAAAAAAAACCAAACCTGGCGTTACTATTAAAGTATATTAAACCAATGGACGTGTAGATAAGAATCCTTCTGTTTGAAATTTTGAGAGCTGAGAAATCACCTAACGAGTTGCTTTGGTGTAGGGTTTTTCTTGGATATGGAAAATCACAAATGAAGTTCTGTTCTGTCTTGATTTGAATTCTAAAAAATGAAAATCTCTTGAGATAACGATGGGAAAAACTAACGGGTGACGCCACCGTTAGCTATAACTGATCCTCCCTTCTTAATCCTAGCTGGCTTATTAATTGACTTGGACCAATAAAAAATTGTGGGGTGAGGAATTCACCCTTTTCTTTCGGAACAGGATCTGCTCCTCACACTTGGGCGCCTCACATGCACATCCACCCTGCATTGGGAACAGGATAGGTGAGAGTTGGTAGCATTACACTAACCCCTTTACTATGGGATCAGTGACAAAGACCCCTTGCACTTTTTTTTTTATGACAAAAACCTCTTGAATTTTAGCCGTTAAATAAGACCCCCTTCCGTCAGCTATTTTTAAAAAAAGATTTTCAATTAATTACTTTAATTTTTTAAATCCCCAAATTATCCTTTTCTTATTTATTTCAACGGTGAGAAGATATCTCTGACCAAGATTGGTCTTCCTCTCAGCTCCCTCCCCCTCTTCATCACCTTCATCTTTTTGATTGACACAACGACAGAACAATAGAAAGAGCTCTCCACTTTAGGCATTGCCTTCCCCTTTCTCTCTTTCATTCTTACCTTCTCCCCTTCTCCTCTCTGTTTTCCCCTTCTCTCTATCTCTCTTTGCATTGTTTATGACTATAATAGGCTCCTTTTTTGCCACTACAACTTGTTGTAGCAACGAGTTTGAACCCAACCAGCCATGCCATTTTCCTTTCTGCATTTCCCCCTCCATTCCAAGCTAGTGACCTTCGCTTGGAGCCATCCTTTTCTCAATATTGAATGAGAATAATAGCAGTGGGTTTGTCATCCCGTTAGTTCCTGTTGGGGCACAACAACCACCCACAATATAAAATCACAAGGTATTTGAAATAGCAATCATGAGAAGTCTAATAGCAGCAAAAATGATGAAATCCAAGCAAAGACAAATAAAAACAAGCATCACAAAGAACACAAAGGTTTACGTGGTTTGGTTGTATTGTCTACGTCTATGAAAGAGCGAAACTTGTTCTTCACTATAAAAGAAAACTGAGAAACAATACAAGTACCTTATGGCTTGTAGCCCAAACCAACCCTTAACCTTTGTCCGTTCTCCCTTTCCTCTCAACCTGAAGAATAAAAACAAAAGAAAAAAAACCCACTCTCACACCAAGAGCACTCTGTATTTTTCTCTCACACCTCTCCAAAAAACCTTAACCCTACATACAAAAGAAAGCTTTTATATGCAAAGCCTCTTTAACCTAAAGAGGGACCACACCAACCGTGGAAATTAAAATTAATCCAACATTGTAAGATTAGACACAATTCCAACAATCTCCACCTTAGCTTATTTTTCAACTACTTTAGAGATATACTAGTTGTGCCTCCACTTGTTTGAAAATACCGCAGACCTCCATTATATTGGCCTTATAAAATACCACAAGCTACACATAATATGAATCACTCGGTCCTGACTCCACCTGATTCAAACAAAACGGCCAATGTACCTGTGTAACTATACCCAACCTAAAGAGGAATCACACCAACCATTAGATTAAAATTAATCTAGTAGTGTTGTTCTTGGTTTAGAATGGTTTGAACTCGGCAAATTCACATCTCCCTATTGCAACATTAGATATTAGGCCAAAATCCCAACCAGGTAGATATGTGATTGCTACCTCTCTATTTCTCTTTTATTTTTCCTGGTTTCTAGTTTAGTTTCCCCCATCTTTCTGCTATGAAACGGTCAGGGTTGGGGGTGGGGGAGATAGAACTGACGGAGCTGAGGTTCCACCGAACCAATTCTAGTTCTTGTAACCTATAAGCTCTCACCCAATCTTGCATTTGTTTTCTTTAAAAGCTTTGTTTGCTATATAGTTTTTGAAAAGAATCTGTTAGCAGCGTAGAAACTGAGTCGTATCATAATTAGTTGTTTATATCTAAAACTGATCTCCCTCTTTCATGATCATTGGCAATAGATCAGATTTTATCTGTGTTGAAGATAATTGAGATTGGATCTCTTTTTATTTTTCCAATGGTTGATTAGTTTAGGTTGTTGTCTCTTTGGAAGGAACATCTGAAGTGGAGATCTCTTGTGGCCACTCCACCTTTGCATCAATCCAAAAGAGGAGGACGATGAATAGTCCTTTTGGTAATTTAATGCCTTTCCGTTATCTAACTTAACAGTCGAGGGGGTCTTTGTCACAAAAAAAGTGTAGGGAGTCTTTGTCACAAACCCCATAGTACAGGGAGGTTTGTGTAATTTACCCTTTTTTATTGCTAAAATTCTATCTGTCCTAATCAAAAGACTTTGCCTCCTTTACATACATAACATATTTTTTTAGCCCCAAAATTTACGCCCAGTGGAGGGGTGGCCACCATAGCTTTATTCATATGAAAAAAACTTTGGAGGGGGGACGTGAAGCCTTACCCCTTGAACTATACAGAGGATACCCAACTCATATAAACAAAAAGTGTCTGGAAAACCTAAAATCAACGAATTCACGAAAAAGGAAGACCTAGACCATCTGCTGTAACCAAATTTTGTACATGTGAAGGAAGAATTTATGTGCAATCATAAACAATTTTCTAAGAAGTTAAGCAACCAAGCTTTGCAAGAGCATCCGTCAGTTGATTAGCTTCTTGGTAAATATGAACACAAAAGAAATCCAATCTATTCCTAAGCTCCTGTACTTGACAACTAAAACCAAAGCTTCCATGGGGCTGTATAATCACCATTAAGGATATCAATCAAAACTTTGGAGTCTGACTCCACCATAATCTTATTTAGGTCAAGAGCAACAGCAAGGTGTAAGCCATCTAGCAAGGCCATAGCCTCTGCAACTAAATTAGTTTTAGTGCCATAGGTGTTAGAGAAAGCACAAATAAAACCGTTCCTTCCATCTCTAATAATACCCCCTCCACCACAGGGGCCTGGGTTTCCTCTGGAAGCACCACCTACATTCAGTTTCTTATAACCCTCCGGGACCGCCAATAAATGCACCACTTTGATGTTCCTTCCTTTAAGTGGTTGGATCCACAACCCCAACCCCTGTAAGGAGAGTTACTGATTAAAACTCACCTTGCGGGTCAGAGTTAAAGAAGAAACCTCATGAAGCCACCACACTTTCACCCAAATCACTAACTCGGAGCATCTGAATTTATTTTCCATTCTTCGCCTCTTTCTCTCTTTCCAAATCTCCCACACTGCAAAGCAAGCAATCAACCCAACCACAATAGCCCATTGATTTTTAGCCAAAGCCGCTAAAAACCAAGTGAAGAGAAGCTCCTTAATACTCTCATTTCCCTTGAAAGGCAGCCCTAGAATTCTGCTAAAGAAAAGCCACACTTTTCAAGCTAAGCAGCTATGCACCAACAAATGGTTGATATCTTC